GTGTTGAACCTTATCTCCTTTTGCCCTCTGACATTTATAATAGCTGTCCAGTTATTTCCTCTACACAGCCAGCAACATTACAGTGGTATAAGTTTCACTTCAAACACCAAACATAATTTAGAACACTTAAGAGAAAAAGGAAAGCCTATTGCATTTACTGATATTTTGGCTCTTTCCATGTTCTTTCTTCCTTCTTGATGCCACAAGATTCTTTTATTGTTTCCTGTTTAGAGAATTTAGTCATTCTTTTCAAGTAGGTTTGCGGGTGACAACTTCTCATAATTTCCCCTTCATTCCAGAAAGATATTTTTGCTTGATATAGAATTCTGGATGGAAAAGTTATTTTCTTTCAATACTTAAAAAAAGTTGTGTCATTTATTTCTGGCCTCTAGTTTCTGATGAGAATCCTGCTGCTGTTCTAATTGTTTTGCCCCTCGAGATAACAGGTCACTCCCCTCTGGCTGCTTTAGAGACTTTTTTCTTTGGCTTTTGCCTTCAGTTTGATTATGATTTGCCTGGACATAGATTTCTTTGGGTTTATCTTCCTTGAGGTTCACTCAGCATTTTGATTCTGTTGGTTTATGATTTTGCCAAATTTGGAAAATTGACAGCCCTTTTTCTTTGAATTTTCTATAGCTGGACTCTTTCTCCTCTCTTTCTGGGACTCCAATGACATGACAGATCTTTTGATCAAAGTATCTCCAAGGCTCTGTTCATTTTCTTTTTCCGTCTATTTTCTATTTGTTGTTTCAAATGGGTCATTTCTGTTCTATCTTCAAGTTTATGGATTCTTTCCTTTGTTCTCTATACTGTCAAACGCATCCACAGTTTTTTATACTGGTTAGTTTACTTTTCAATTCTAAAATTTCCATTTAGTTCTTCAAAATCTTCTCTTTACTGAGATTTTCTAATTTTTCATGTTTCAAGCATGTTCATAATTGCTAACTGATTTCTCTTATTTTTTTCAGACAGGGTCTCACTCTGTTGCCCAGGCTGGAGTGCAGTGGTGTGATCATAGCTCACTGCAACCTTAAACTCCTGGGCTTGAGTGATCCTCCTGCCTCAGCCTCCCAAGTAACTGGGACTACAGGTGTGCACCAGCCTAATTGAAGTATTTTTATGATAGATGCTTTAAAATATTTGTCAGATAATTCTAATGTTGGTGTCATCTTGGTGCTGGCATTGGTTATCTTTTCTCATTTAGTTTGAGATCTTGATTCCTAGTGTAGAGAGTGATTTTTTATTGAAACCTGGTAAGTTTTGAGTGTTGTAAGACTCTGGGTTTGAATTAAAGCATGTGTTTTAGTGGGCCTACTCTGACACTGCTCCAGTGAGTGAAGAGGGGAGGCTGCCTCTTTGCTGCCAGGTGGGAGTGGAAGCCCAGGCTCCCCTCCAGGCCGCAAATGATAACATTCGGGCTGGGGGTTGGGGGAGCATCTTGTTACTGCCGCCCATGTGGCCTCCACGTTGCCTTGTTACTGCTGAAAGCCTTGACAGCCTGGAGAAAGTGGGAGGGACACCTCAATACTATTGGGTAGGGGTGAAAGTCCAGGCTCCCACATAGTCTTTACTGACAACACAGGATGGGGGTCATTATACCCAGTGGAGATGCAAGTCCCAACTCAGGCCTTCCCTAACACTACCAGAAGAAAGAGACGGGAAGGGGTTGAGGCATTTTGTTATAGCAGGCAAGGGTGGAGCTCTAGGCCCCTCTTGGTCTTTGCTAGTGGGGATGGGGTAGGGCTGCAGTAGAGCTGTTACTGTTTGAAAGTTTTTTGTTTTTGAGGTTGCTCCTCTCCTAGAGCACTGGTTATAGAGAACAAGCTTTTGTTGGGGCTTTTTTTTTTTTTTTTACTGTGCCTGTTGGCATTCTTGGGTTAATGGCTTCTCCAGCTCCAAGTGTGGGATATATAAGGCAAAAAGAAAACCCAGAGAGCTCACTGCTTGTATTAGTTTGCCAGGGCTGCCATAACAAAATTCCGGAGACTGGTGGCTTAAACAACAGAAACTCATTTTCTCACAGTTCTGGAGGTTAGAAGTCGAGATCAATTGGTGTCAGCAGGTTTGGTTTCTCCTGAGGCTTGGAGGTGGTCAGCTTCTTGCTGTGTCCTCATGGTCTTTCCTCTGTGCATGCACATCTCTGCAGTCCAAATTTCTTCTTATTTGGACATCAGTCAAACAGGATTAGAGCCCACTCTAATTTTCTTTAGACCTCATTTTACCTTAACCACCTTTAAAGATCTTATTTCTAAATACACTCTGAGTTTCCGAAGGGTTAAGACTTTAACATACAAATTTGTGGCAACATTACTCAGCCCAAAACACCACTGTACTTTTCCTCAGGTCCTGAGGTCCCCAGCTGGCCTTTTTCTATCCACTTTCAAAATCTTATGTTTGTCTTACCTATAATGTCCAGAATTTTCACTGTACTTAGTAGGAAGACTGTGGAAAGTATGTTTACCCCATCTTCTTGAAAATGGAAGTCTCCGCCTTACATTTTTCTTTATTTTAGTTTCCTTAAAAACTGACCTCCCCTGGTTAGTAAACGGCAGAGCCAGCTATTTTGACTCCTGCATCCTAGGTCTCTATATCACATCACATAAGTTTTACTTCAAATAAAATGTATATAAAATATGGAAACTCAAAATTCAGAAAGTACCAAAACATTAAGACTTTTAGAAAGCATTGAGGTTCTTGATAGTAACATCTCTACTTTTTTTCCTTCCTGCAACACAGCTGTAGATAAAAATGTTCCCCTTGTTCCCCAAAGTGGCTAAGGTACAAACAGGACACAATCAGGGATTTTTAACACAAAGAAAACATGTGGTTTAATCTTGGTGATTAGAACAAAGACCTACTGCTGCCTTTGAAGCAATGTGCAGCACACTCCTGGATATTGCTGTATCAGTTCTCAGGGTAATGCAATTTTTCAACTCTGTATCAATGATAACAACCAACCACTGAGAAAGCCTAGGTAAAGCACATAAACCACTTTAACAGACAAACTGAAACGTTAAAACTCACAAGTCCTCTGACCTAGGAAATTGCTAAGGATTTTCCAGATTTCCCATAGTCGTAAGAGCTCCCAACTATAACTCCCAATTATGGCCAGGCCAACATTTCATTCAATACAACCTCTAAGTTGAGAATGAAGTCAAGCTCACATGTGACTAAGAACCATAAAGCGAAAGGCAGCCCATCCAGAGCGGGAGGTGTGATCAGACACACCATCAGGGCTCGAGCAACAGCCTCGACCCCATGAGAGCCTACCTGGGACCAGCAGGCTGGGCTCAGTGTTCAAGAGGATGTAGGTGAAATCCAGGATGTTCAGACTCTGTAATCTGCACCTTGCTTGAGTCCACTGTGACTATCACTGAAGTAACAATAGTAGCCATCCCAGTCTTACTGTTGCAAGCAACAGTGAAATGCAGGGGCACCACTGTCATGGTCAGTTTGGGCAGCTCTAACAAAATGCCTTAGACTGGGTAATTTATAAATAGAAATTTATTGCTCACAGTTTTGGAGGCTGAGAAGTGCAAGACCAATGTGCTGGCAGATTTGGTGTTTAGTGAGGGCCCATTCCTCATAGATGGTGTCCTCCTTGGCAGAAGGGGCAAAAAAGCTCCCCTGGGCCTCTTTTTATAAGACATTAATCCTGTCCACCTAAGCACCACCTAAATGCCTCACCTCTTACTATGATTTGCATTGGGGATTCGGTTTCAACATATGAATTTGGACGGCGGGGGGGGGGGGGGGGCACAAAAATTCAGACTATAGTCACCATACTCTGTTGACCCATTCGTCTGTTTCCAGTGCCCTAACTCCACTTGCCTCTTTTCTCAGGACATTAATGTGCCTAAATCAAAGCTCACACACATATTTTTGATGCATTACCCCTTTCCTTAGGGTAAATTACATACAATTTGTCTTCACCTTCTTCCCTTCTCCCCTGGAAATATTTTACGAAAATCACAGGGAAGAAAATCAAAACAAAGAATCCCAGGGAAGAATTCTAGATATTAGCAAGTAACAAGGTAAGAGAATTCTGGACTCTGGGCCTTCAGGTACTCCCAGACTGCACTGCACAGCTTAGTGCCACGGAGTTCCCAGCTGTCCCTTGTCTATACTTCTTCAACGTCTGGGGTCACCATCGGTAGTTCCCAAGTAGGCTTCCCAGCTCTGTCTATCCCATCTCAGTAAATGGTGTATCACTTAGTTCAGGCCAAAATAATGAAAATTAAAAATAAACCAACCTTGATTCCTCTCGTTCTCTCTCATATCACATCTAATCTAGCCCTGGCCTCAGTTTCACTATCTTCTGGGGAATTAGCATGTCAAAGAAACAAAACCACAGCATTCTTGGCCCTGCCCCAGAGATTTTGATTCAAACAAGTCCAACTTTAAAAAATCCCAGGGTGATTTTTAAAGACAGGCAGGCAAGTTTAGCTCACACTGGTTAGGTACCACAGGACCTCCCGTTTGCACATGCTTCTGAGATGCAGAAAGCTCCATCCTCTTGGTGCCTGTTCAGGTTTGCTGTCATGCAGAGCCAGTCTACTTGGAAAATGTGTTGCTTTAACTTACTATGTCATTTTTCCATTTATTATACTAGGAAAAATAAAATGCTAACACTAATCCTTGAAAAAGTTCTTAACGAAAACAAAAACTCTCAAGTTCTCACTCAATGAGCCTAGTTCACAAATCTTTCTACAGAAGACAAATGGCACTCCTTTTTCTCCATCTGTTCTGTGCTGACAGGGAAGGACACAAAAATGATTTTATCCCTGGCTAAGATCTGAAAACTTCACACAGCAGGTAATGTTACATGCAGAGATTCGGCCCATGTAGCATATAAAGATTTCCAGTATCCACACATCAAGTTACATATTGCATGAACCTGGATGTTTTCAGTTTTCTTTTAAACTAAATTCGCCAATATTTTTCGTAGTGATTCAACGTCCTGCACAAAGCAGAAAGCCAACCTTTAAAACTGAAAATCTATGACTGATGAGTTTCCATATTTTATTAAAATAGCATACTTAACCACGGTTAAACAAGAATATGTTAACTTTGTCCCACCCCCACCCCCGAATATGCAGCACAATACAGTAGTGATTTCAAATATTCTTGTTTGTGATAACCAACAGAAATGCTTCAAAGTCAAGTTTGCAACTAAAAACTAGACCTTGGAAAAATTCTGAATTAAAAGAGAAACATAAAGCTCTCAAACAGAATTCTTTTATCTGCCCGAAAATAAATGCCGGGGTGCCACCCACCTGACAATACTGTTAGGTTTTTTTTTTTTTCTTTATGCATAGTATAACGTCTCATTTATAAGTACCCACTTTTATAAATAAAATCGGCATTTTTCGTCCCATTTAATGTTCCTTTTCAGCTTCACAAAGAAACCAGTAAATAAAACTGTCAATGACAGTCACAACATACGTTCTCACAGCAAGATAAAAAACTTGAAAATACGCAGAGATGCATCTACGCTATTTTACATAAAAAGATTCAAAAAGTGCAAGGCAAAATCTGCAGTTTTTTGAAGGGAGCTTTTAGGCACATCCATTTCATTAAAGCAAGCTTCAGAATGAAATTCCAGTTTGTTCTTCATGACACCTGTTTAAGTCTTTCTTTAAAAAAAAAACCAAACAAACCAAAAATACATCCCATCGAGTGTAAAACACGGAGTCTTGAGTCCTAAGAAATGAGGGGCTCAGTTGTGGCGAGTCCGTCCTTTCTTTATTCTGGCGGGCTTTGGTTTGGGGATGTACTGATTATTTGCCTGGTACTCGAGTTCTTTGCGGAAGTAATGAATTGCTTTGTTTAAACCTTCCTCCAGCGGGACCTGTTTAAAGAGAAAGGGAGAGGTCACATCCATGGAAGGGCTTTGCAGGAAGGATGTGCCCACTTATGGGGCCCCTTTCAGAGGAGCACTCACAGACCACACGCTGGTCATCGCAGCCCACCCAGAGAAGACAGAGGTCCTTCAGGGCTGCTTTCCAACCGTATTATGCAATTTAACAAGTGACACTCTTACTGACATAAAGTGAGCTCCAACCCCACAGAAGACCCCAAACTACCTCGTGCTGATGTATCTAGTTCAGTGTGAATCAATCTCAAATATGGCTTTTAAGATAACACACATGTGCCCCCTTCTTTCAGAAGAAATCTACCATGGAGCGAAGGGAAGATGCGTTGAGAAGGTGATCTGCATCTAAGCCACATTCTTGATTCTCCTACGTGACATTAACCCTTTGCGTTTCCCAACAGACAGCCTACCTGCCAGCGGGCACTGGGACATTCCTCAGGGAAAAGGGTTTGTCTGTTTGTCTGTCTCGATGACGGCGATGGTTTCTCAAGTGTCAAAACATTCGTACATCAAAACTTATCAAACTGTACATTTTAAATACAGGCAGTTGCTGTATGCCAATTATACCTCAACAAGCTGTTAAACACATGCACTCGAGAAAATTAAGATGGGTATGCCTGAAAGTTTCCTTGGATCAGACCCCTCAAAAATGTCTTACAAATTAAAACTGCCAGTAGGAAGAGAAACGTGATAGATGCCTCACATTCTAGGAATGTTAGAATATTGTACATCTAAAATCCAGACAAATAAAATAGTAACATACATACCTCACATAATGTAAAAGCAATAGTTACTATGTAGTGAATATACATTTAACTCTTTAAAAAATATTTTGTTTAAAATAAAGGTTCTAGGCTGGGCATGGTGGCTCACGCCTGTAATCCTAGCACTCTGGGAGGCCGAGGTGGGTGGGTCACTCAAGGTCAGGAGTTCCATACCAGCCTGAACAAGAGCGAGAACCCTGTCTCTACCGAAAAATAGAAAGAAATGACCTGGACAACTAAAAATATATACATAGAAAAAAATTAGCCGGGCATGGTGGCGCATGCTTGTAGTCCCAGCTACTCGGGAGTCTGAGGCAGAAGGATTGCTTGAGCCCAGGAGTGTGAGGTTGCTGTGAGCTAGGCTGACACCACGGCACTCTAGCCCAGGCAACAGAGCAAGACTTTGTCTCAAAAAATAAATAAATAAATACATAAATAAAATGAAATAAAGGTTCTACTTACAAATGGACCAATGGCAAATAGAGCTTCAAAAAACAAAGAAACTGGACTTATACTTGCTATAACCTGTTTTGCACAGCTGAGATTATTAGATTTTGTTAAGCCTGGGCCTAATCTAATCATATTTTCATTTCATTCAACAAATTTCTGTGGCCTTCCGCAGGTCACCTACATTTGTGCATCACAGGGTAAAACGAGAACCACGCTGGAACTCTCATGGCCCTTTAAGGTTCAACATTCTGGGATTCTACTTACTCAGCTCTCCATACTATGCACATTTTTAAAAGCTACACTAAGCTTTCAGATGTGTCCCCATCTCTGACTGTGCCCCACCCGGCTGGCCATGCCTAGGATGCTCCTACACATTGGTCAAGTACCTAGTGTGTGTGAGGCTGTGACAGCTGCGGGGCTCCTGCTGTACACAGGGCCTCGTGCCCTTGCCTGAGGGGAGCCCACATTCTAGTGGGGCACACGGGAGTGGGCGAAGAGGGAACAGCCAGACGTGGCAGATGGTAGATGAGGCAGGTTTACTCCTGCGGATGTAGCCAGCTGAGCCTGCCTCTGTAAGGAGATGATATCTGAAGGACAAAGGACCTAGTGGATGAGAGCGCAGTGGCCACACACAGCCCTAGGGCACAGGCACTCTTGGGCGAGGGGGGAGCACATGGTCCTCTGCAGTGGGAAAGGCAGGTGGCGGGAGCAGGGGCAGGCTGGGGGCTCAGGGTTCAGCTACTCGGGGCTCAGCCACAAGGGTGAGGGAGACAGCTGCCTCTTGCGGCATCTCACAGGCCACAGCGAGGGTCTGCGGAAGGCACGCGGGCTCCCTCCCTTTGCAACCCTCAGTGTCATACACTTCCAACCTGGGTTTCCACCTGTGAGGGGCTGATGGGACCAGATCGCTCCTTGCCCAGCTCTGCACGGCCATGAGGAGAGGTGGCCAGGGCTATGGGAAGCCCCTGAGCACATGCCGCCATAGCCCTCGACACTGCCCTCGTGGAGGCAGCATGCCTCTGTAATTTTACGAAAGCAGAGCCAACAGCAGGCCGCAGCCATTGCCCCGACGAGAGAATGAGACATGATATGGAGAAGCTGTTTATGGCCTGGAGAAACCTGATGTCTGTCCAGACGCCAACCCCACCTCGCTCCACTGGGGCTGCTCACAAGGGCCAGTGCCCACAGGACCGGGGACCCGGGAGGTGGGGACCCATCTCTAGGCAGCGCTAACTGTCCACACTTACCACAGGCTCCCATCCGAGCATCAGCTTGGCTTTCTTGATGTCCGGTTTTCTTTTCTGTGGATCATCCTGGGCCTCAGAGAGAAACTGAATTTCGCTTCCGCTACCTGAGATGTTTAAAAAAAAAAAAAAAAAAAAAAATGGTAAGAGAGAATCACGAAGCACGAGGGACGTGTCATTTTACCACCTACATCGAAGCAAAATGCCATCTGTGTAGTGAATAAGGTGCAACTGTGTAAACGCTGCTCTCACAAGCCACTGGGCCCCCTAAGGACTGTCCTATACAGAGAGCTGACTGCGCGCAGGTGCCCCAGGCTTAGCTCTGGCCCCATGAGAGCTTGTCGGGTGCTGGTTACCCTGACTCAACAGGCCTGAGTGACCTCCCAGTACAAGAGGGCCTGCCCCAAGGCAGACCACCCACATCAGGTAACACACAGACGTGCCCACCATGCACGACCTGATGTCAGTGACAACCACAAACGTGGTGTGAGTCATCTCTGGGGGTGATGCCAACAGACCACACCTGGGTGTTCAGAGCCTAGCAAGCCCCAAGCCGAGGCACGAGACGTCCAGCCACCCTGCTGCAGGGACATATGGAGGACAGAAAAGCTGGCTTGTCCAGCATCCTAGCTGGGTCCAGACCCTGCTGGCCAGCAGAATGAAGCTACACCAATGACTGTTGGCCAGCCCTGCAGAGGAAACCCCAGTGGAGGCCAGCCCTGACTGCAGAATCCGGGGCAAATGAAACAGCTGTTGTTGTAAGCCAACGAGGTTCAGGGCGGCGTGTCACACACAGACACATGGGGAAACACTGTGTCCTTCTCAGGTTTCAGATCAGACCTTCTCAACGTGCCAACGTGCACACAGATCACCTGAAGGACTTGTCAACATGCAGATTCTGACTCGGGAGGCCGGGGGTGGGGCCAGGAGCAGACGGCTCACAAGCTGTGATCTGAGCATGTCCCTTCCTCACGTGCGAGGGACAGACAGGTTCAGAATGGAAAAGCTGGGGAAGTGGACCTGAAAGGGGGCTGCAGGCACGGAGCAGGTTTTGTCTGAGGAAGACCACCGCCTCCCGTCACATGGACAGGACTCCAGCGGTCAGAGTTGACTGGAACAATGCTGGTGAGTGCAGCCTGATGCCAGGAAGGACAACCTGGAGGAACTAACCCAGCCAGGCAGGTCTGGATGATCACTTCAGAACACCACGCCACATGTGCTCATCCCTGGTCTAGCCAACCAGTCCACTTTGGTTGTGTCTTTAACTCAAATTTCTGGACCAACACCAGAAAAGACAGACCCTCTAAGAGGCAGACTTCCCAAAGCTCCAGGAAGCCTGAGGATGAGACCAAGGGCTCACCCACTCTACGTCTGCAGCCCAGGGCCAGTCTAGAATACCTGCACTTCCTATGGCGTAAGAGTGCCCCTGATGGGTGCTCCCAACGTCACACTGCCCCAGCAGCACAGCCAGGCTGCCAGAACCGAAAACGGAAGTTCAAACTTGGCCGAAACATAACTGGTGTTGCTCTCTGTTATTCTCTGAAATTCTATGCTCAACATGACGAGTGTTTGGAAATCCAATAATTGTCACCCGTGCAGTATGAACTACACAACTGTACTTCAAACACTGGAAACAAATCTCTTCCCTCCCACTCCATGAAGACCTGCAATTAAAATAGTGAACAAAACCAATGCTGCCCTCCTTTATCTTTTTATTACTTAATTAAAGAATTAGAAAACAAGTATTCCTGATAAAAAGTTCTGCTTTGATCCAATTAGCTTGTATCAATTACCCATTTTCTAGTCAAGGTGTTATCAACAGATAGGGTAAGCACAGCTGATTTCACTCAGGAAGTGATTTATCCTACTTACCAACAAGGTTTTTAATTAACTGAGCAAATTCTAGGATTGTGTGTTCTTCTGGGTTCCCCTAAGGAAGAAATGGTTTCTCGTTACAACTGTAATTACAACAGCGGCAGCCCACCACCCAAACCACACGCATGTCTGCAGAGATGTTTGCTGGCCGACTCGGACCTCCCTGAGCTCCCTGTTTCCCTGGGGCGCTTAACTTACCAAGATGACGATTATTCAACCTGGCAAAGGGCTAAACTGCACCCATCTTCACCTTTGTCCTCTAGACTGTCCATGTATATGACTGGCCTTTAGACAGGTCAAGAGCGTAGGAAACACATTCACTGGCTGCATTTTCCAGGACAATTTCCATATCGAACATAACTTCACTGTCACTTTGCATAAAAGTGTGGGTTACAAAATTAGCTCTCCTAACGCAATCTATTTCCCTCTGGGTGTGCTGTGTTAATAACTTCGATGATAAGGGACTTGCAATCTTGCACGTGAAATCTGTAACACAAATGAGTGTCCTCACAGGCAAGGCCCAGCGACAGACTGGTTGTGTTGTATAATGTGAGTGTACTTTTGCCGCGTGGGGTGGAAGGACGGATGGGGAAGCTTTGAGAAAAACCACTTTCTTCTTTTCTTCCTGCTGTAACACATGTGAGCAGCCACTGCCCATTTACCTCCCAATCCTGTCATTCCTATTCCGCCCCCACCACCCACAACCGTAAGAACTACCATAAAGTCTGACAACTACACATCCTAAGGACTCTGCATTCCCATTTCCTTGGTCAGTCTGAGGCTAGATGGCAGAAGAGCAGGAGGGACCCTGGGCCTAACCGTGAGCACAGCGAGGACTGACTAGCGAAGTGGGGCGATGGGTATCTGGGAGAAAGTGGCTCTGTCTTTATGGGGCTCCTGGTGGACACTTGATTCTGATTTTAGGGAGGAAAGCTTTCTAAAAGAGATGGGAGTTCCCCAATATCCCTGTGCGAAGGCCTCCGAAGAGGGGAAAGAAGGAACATGGTAGCTACTTCAGAGAACACCATGTTTGCTCAGGGGAGTCACTGACAACAAACCTCCCAAAGGGCCTGCAGCAGAAACGCAGGACAGGGGTGGCCGGGCCCTCCAAAGTGCCAGCAGGCAAATGCCCCAGGTGAACTGAGGCTTATAATGCAAGGCACGTTCTGGTCTGTTTCAAGTGAATGTTTTTTCAAAAGTGCCATCCTGTATCCATGAATCAGCAACAGTCCCAGGAGGGAATGACCACTCTGGGGCCAATTCTTTCCTACATGATAAGAACTCCTTCCTCTCAACTCAGGGAAAAATGAACGGTATCCAATGTACTTGAGATGGCTGGTTACAAGGGCAAGTACAGGGAAAGGTTTTTCCGTGACGTGGTTTGCAAGAAATACGTTGCATGCCACTGCTGTGAACCCTGAAACATTGCAGGAGGCAAGAGATGTGGTTTGGGAGAAGCACCTGAAATGACCCGAGAGCTTCGTTGAGGTGGGACAAAGAGGGGTCCCTAGTGAACACAGGGCTCTTGTGTCTGCCGCCATCGACAGAAGCAAACACCTTGAATGCTGGGCAGCCCACACTGGACACCTTGTGTTTTACATGAGAGGGAAGAAAGCCACCCAGAAGACAGTGACAGAAAGGGTAAGAGGACCTAGCATGACCCTGGCTGATGCAGCTGGTGAAGAGAAGAGTTGGGGCATAGGACCATAACCTGCAAATCCCCGGAGAGCTGTCACATTGCAGAGGCTTCCGGCTAGCTCTGAATGGCACCAGGTGGAGAAGTGAGGTCAGTGGGTGGGTGTGCAGAGGGGGAGATTTTGGTCCCAATATAAGCAAGAACTTTCCGCTGGCCAGAACAGGCCAGAGACAGTGAATTTCTCTGAGCAGAAGCAAGTTCACCAGCAGAGTGCTCAGAGCTGGAAGAGACTGGGCAGAGCTAACTCTCAATGCCTCCAATGGGGAGATTCTAGGGCTGCGGCATGAAGGGAGGCGAGAAGCCAAGGAGCTAGTCTGTCAGGCTGAATTAGAGATGGGATCAATACCTGGGAAACTTCCTCTTTGGACAACATCCATCTTCTAAAAACTCAGTCAACTCTTATAATGAGGACCCACCCATTAAACGGAGAGAGGGCTGCACACAAGTGTCCATTTACTACCACCAACAGGCTTCCCATGCTTGCAGACCTGGGCCCTTTAGAAGGCAGTGAGAGTTTGTCTAGAGTTTATTACACTGCTCATCTGTGCCTTGCAGATGTCTCACTTCTTTGCACACTCTTACTTTGTTTTGCATTTTTTTCTCTAGTATTTAGCAAGCAACAAACATGCGTGCCGATGGCAAACCAAGCAAAAAGGCTGGTGCTGTCTGCGGTTTCGCAACAAGAAACTCTGAACTGCCCTGGGAGGGTGCAGAGAGAGTACTCACCAGGTTGACCGGGCTACTGACGTTGCTGTTCATGAGAGCCACGAGGCCATTCACCAGATCGCTGGAAAAGAAGTGGGGGCGCGTGAGGCTCCACCCGCTGAAACACGCTGGCGCTGAGCACCATGTACAAGCCCACCCAGGAGAAAATTCACCACCTCCCAAAAGAAAACAAAAACCCAAATGGAAAACTGAACGTCAAAATAAAATCCTGCAAACTGACAAGGTGTTTATAACACTAAAGTACTTATGGATGAAATGTACTTATGGATAAATATGATGTCTGGGATTTGCTTTTGGTGGGTGAGGTATAGACAGTCAAACGGGATGGAAGCTGAGCGATGGGGTTGAGTTTGCCATGTTCGTGCATTTTTGAAGTCCTTTAACAATTAAAAACTAAACATACATTAAAATAGGCACCCGCCCCCCAAAAGATGGCATTTATAGAAATTTCCGATGAAAGTCCATGTTTAATGTGAACCCAGCTAGTTGGCCTGTACGAAAGCACATGATCCTATTTGAAAACAAGATCCACGGAAATGAACGGACTCCAGTATGTGATCCTCATACTGGCAAATCACAGATAAAACCAGACGATACTGAGTGTTGAAATCAACTGGAACGTCACTCCCGACTCCCCCAACCTTCAAGTCGCCACCCCCCAAGACACCGCGCATGAAACGGTCAGGGATATTTGGATGTTTCAAATGGATCGTGACTGGGCCATGAAGGTGAAGATAAGTAAGCAGATTTTTCGCTTACCAAGGTTTGGTTCTTATTTTCAGAAGCTTTAAAGTGTGACTCTGTTAAGAAAAAGTTACTTCGTAAAAATGACACCTCACTGCTAAACACAAGTACTTTCTCTAAGCCCATTTCCATCAGCTGTATTTCTTAGAACACTTTTCGAGTTCTGTTCCTCCTCCTCCGTCATTACCAGTGAGGAGCAGGTCACTGTGGGTGACAAAAGAAAATCCCAGATAGCTTTTGCTTTCCTTTTAATTGAGAAAAAGAAATCTGGGGTGGGGTATTTAGTAAACAAGTTACGTCTGCTTTTTCATTTACAACGAATAGGTGGCTATTTTATATGAACCTGTTTAAAGTGTTCTGTTCTCACAGATCAAGCACAAATGCAAATCGTTGCTGACCTCAGATGGTTTCTCTTTTATAGAAACTGGCAAAAAGTCACTTCATCACTATGGCAGTAATCATTACATCACAATGTGTTCTCTCACGACACACATCTGTGAATATTTATAAAAAGACATTAAAAGCTGCCATTCTATAACATCCACAATAGGTTTTAATATTGAAACTAGGGGGTGGGGTCCACATTGAGTTGGAAGATGGCTGACTATTAGGCAGTCGCCCTCACTGGAGAGGAAAGGGGGGATGGCCACGCATTTTTTACATGATAAACTGGCAACTTTTAAGGTCAAAATTGCACAGATCACACTCATTTAACCTGAAGCTCTTTAAAAGTGTCATTTTGACAAAGTGACTTTTTAAAAAAAATAGATAGCATGCCTTTGTTATGTGAATGAGGACACAACCCAACCATGAAAATACCAAACACAGTCATGCCAAATGCCAATGGATGACCACCTAGACCTCGGAATCCCTGCAACGCTGACTTGAGGCAATCGTGGATTTAAGATCAGTTAATTGAGCAGAGTAACTACAGATTCAGATGCTGTGCATTAGTAAGAGTCTCGGTTCCTAAAAAATATCTTGTTAAAAATAACAAAACTTTGGTCAGGGAATGAACTCAGTTGGGTCTTAAATAACTAGAAAGTTTAAGTGGGAAAACCCCAGGCGTGGCAAAGCCTCTGAAGAGCCGTGATCTCCCCAGAGTGGGGAGCAGACATCGCCGCAGAGTTACAAAGAGAGGGTTTCCTAAAAGGGTTAACAGCTACGTGTCCAGGGAAACTACTAGAGCCTTCCTTCTAAGTGGGCTGTTGGCACGGGAGAGGACAGTGCACGTGACGGCAGCCAGGTGTGTGAGCTGTGACCGTCAGAACAGGCCTGGCACTGCCAGCACATCTTGACTTTTTGTCCTGAGCTGGGATAGCATATGGCATGGGCGTTACTGAATGCTGAAAACATTTTAATCTCTAGCAAAAATAAAAGTATCTGAGGCCATTTTAAATGAATTTTATAAGTGATGTCTTTGAATTAATGAGAACAGTAAGAAGAATGGGTTCTAACTGGTTCCCCTCTTAGTGCACGAAGTCTCGTGAATATTCCACATGGTGTGGCGGCTGGAGAAGCTTGGAGGAGCCTGGTGAGGTAGTTTAAGGCAAGCCCATGCCACTGAGCACAGCAGGTTCCCTTGAGGAAGCACACGCCTAGGGGCAGGTAAGGGACGGTGGGATGAAAACGAATTCGTATGAAAAGATGGTACTCAACACACCCAAGTCCGACTATTCGGTCCCCACACGGAAATGTGCCATGGAAGTTTCTCCAAGCACATGGTGCCTATGTCCCGTGCTTTGGAGGACGGCTGCCATTTCCCTGTTAAATCGCTTCTCAGAGTGAGTTTGCCCACTGGGGCAGCACCGTGGGCCAGTTACATTGCACTGCCGGGCCTTCTGCCTTGCCTGACAGATATGCTTGTTTGCTCACAGCATTCATCTGGACTAAATGTCAGAATTCACAAACACTTTCAGCGAACATCTACAGTGGTTGTTTTTCATTTTTTTAAAAAATTGTACTAGCAGTTTCATTTCTCAAAAAGACACCTACTGGGACCCTCACCTAACCAGACAAAGGTCTCTGTAGGTGCTCTGGCTGAAGTATGGCTGGGAGGTTGCCCAGACTGTGCCCCTTTAGCCACCATCTCACCTCACCTCACCTCACCCCTACAGGGCCCTGGGATGGCCCCAAGACACCAGAACAGCATTTCCCAATTGGCAGGTGTTGCCGGGCATCTGCACTCAAGAGTGGAAATGTGTGGGTCCAAACTACAGAACTGGGTTTTACAATGATTCAGGACACCAGAAACTTTTACAGAATTGACAGCAGCCACGTACTGGTAGAAAGCATGTTGGTGTATGTAACTTCCTGTAGCCTAACTCTTCTCTCAGAATTCAACTGAATTGACCAGTGAAACACTAGATTGTAAGGATTACCAAGAAAACAATAAAAATCACCAAGTGAAACAATTCACAATTCTAAAGAATATATTTTTACCTGCACTTGGTTTCAGCATGAAATTCAACATTAGGACACTATCTTATCTCATACCCTTTGTAAGAACTATCTCAACCACCCCACAAAGCCATGTTTAAGATGAGTCTTTGCAGGTTGCTGGATGCATAAAGCCATCTCTTAACCTGGCCTGAACTGGAATCACACAAGTCACCCTCAGAGCTGGGCAACTTCACTCGCAAAACGCTAGGTGGCAGTCAAAGACCAGCTCAGGAGTCACGAGAGTCCCAGAGAGGGATGTAAACTTTTAACACAGAACAGCAAGAGTTTTCCCACGGCAAAGCCGAAATTCACTTTTAATCAACATACACTGTCAGAGTTGTGGAAATGACTAACGGACACCGTGGACACTCGAGTGTCTGCCAGGTCAGCACTCCCCAGCCCCAAAGCGTGGCTAAGGCTGAGTTTCTGTGGCCGGGCAGGACAGTCTTACCTGACATACTGGAACGCCCTCGTCTGAGACCCCGATCCATACACCTGCAAGGAAACCGACAGTTAGGCCTCCTGAGAAAACCACTCCAGCACTGGGCAGCTTTCCGTGAAATTCCAGGGGACACAGACTGACCTGACCATTTATCCCCAGAGGGGCAGTGACAGTGACTCAAAGCATCTCGAGCCACACTTTACACCCCTACTTCAAAATTATGCCCCAACAGCGAGAAGGTGGCAGAAATACTTAATGTGTGTGTGTGCGCGCGCGCACGTGCACAAAGTTTTCCCTTAAAAGACAGTATCCAAAGGCATCAGCTTCTGTTGGAATCTTATGATGTGTCAGGCATGATGTCAGGTTCTGGGGTCTGTGATCTGAATTCAGGTGGGAGACAGACCCACACACAGAGTCATGTGTACACCTTACCAGAGTTCTCAGCCCTTCCACCAGAACAGCTGGGCGGTCGGTCCACACTCATCACAGACTCTCTAGGACATAGCAGGTGTCTCCTGGTACTTTACAGCGAGTTCCAGGTAATTCTAATGTGTGGCCAAGACCAAGGCTGATAGCCCCCCAGGAGACTCTGAAAGTGACACAGAGGTGGCAGGAGGGAGGCAGGGCTATGTGGCCCTTTTGTGTCCACTGAGCTCTTGTTCCCACACCCTGTGCCTTGGCTTGCATTCTTTTCTCTGCCGGCTACAATCCTTTGTCTACTTTCTTGCTAGCAGAGAGTCACTCCTCTTTTAGGAACCAGCTCTAACACCACCTTCTTGGGAAGCTTCCTCTGACTCATCCCTCACGGACAGAATGAACTGCCCTGCCCTGTGCCCATTCATGCCAACTGCCCCCAACCATGAACTCCCTGGACGACACATGTCCAACTTGCCTCAGCCCTCCCAGAGCCAGGCACGTTGCCTGGCACGATGGCAGCACTGCACAAGCACCGGCTGAATGGTAATCTGGTGAATGCTACAGATTATGCCACCTACTGAGGATGGCGAGATTGAAGCAGAAGGCTAGCCCTGGTCACAGGGGACGACACAGCCACTGGAGTTGGGGTTTGCCTGCTTGTTGGGGGAAAATAGGTAGCTGGGAGGAGCGAATGCCTTCCAGACAAGCCTCCCTCCAGCTACCCCATGGTGTTCACGGTCAGTATCCCTTGGGGACAGCACCAGCCCCACTGTCCCTCAGCATGGCTTCTCAGGGGTGCACCGCACCAGATTTGAGGAGGAAAAAGGGAAGGTGCAGGTGGGGAAGAAAAGCACTCCTCACACCTCCTGGATGCCTTTTTCTAAAAAGCAGGTTTAAACGCTGTTTTTGGTATATGCCAATTTCCCAGGTGTATCTGTTCTACTTGGTTCTGTTCTTAGGGGAAGGCTCCCACTGAGAAAAGCTGGGGCACACCGACGTGTCGGGATTTCTGTAACACAGAAACCACAGTAACAAATCCCAGTAAAGGACAACTGAGGACAGACTGGGGTGGGCGTCTTAGCAGGAGACCACAATGCCCTGGCAGCTCTGCTGGAACCAGTTCTCTGGCCTCGCTCACACAGCTGACACATCGGGGGAGGCAAGAAGGAGGCAGTGGGCCTGACTCCGCAGGACAGCAGGTCCCTGCCCTGAAGCTCCCTCATCCTGGAGACCCCTGCACCCCAGGGCTGGACGCATAGCTCTTGTTTGCTTTTTACGACCTTATTTTAGAGGTGAGGTCACTGAAGTTCTGAGCACTGGACTGACCTGCACCCAGCAGAGTGAAACCCATCTTGACTCCAAGTTCAGGATTCTTTTTGCCATCACATCGCGTCCTCTAATTTCAGAGCTGCCTGTAGTTTCTACTGCAGATGTGGTTCTCAGGCTGGCACTGGGCTGTTCACCGATCTCACTGTAAGAGGAGTCACAAGGCTCCTCAAGGGGTAGGTCTGGGAGTGTGCTCCCTGCTGCTCGGGGGTCCGAATATCAAAGTTGAGGTTGCAGGCACGCCTCCGCCACTTACTCCCACCATCCCACCACACTTAGTCAGGGGCACTGCCCACAGTGGGCTAGGGGCCTGCAGGTGCATTCTGGCCACATTCATGGAAAGCCCACCACTTATGCAGAGTAGCGATGGCCTTCAACAAGTGGGCTCACCCAAGAGCTATGATGTCCAGCCACATGCTGCCTCACAGAGCGGAGCCCACGGGGGAGCGTGCAGAGGCAGCTTTGGTTCCATCCAAATGCGCCAACCCCCAAGGGCTGGAGGGAACATGATTTAGGGCAGCATATGCCGGGGGAGCCTTCAGATGGGGACGAGTTAGCTTGGGCAGCCAGGGTGAAGAGTCTGAAGAATTGTGCCAATAAAGGGAACCAGGGACTTGTGATGGGCCCTTGTTCAGGAGATCAATGTCAGCTAATTCCAAAGGGAGGTTTAGAGCTGCTGCCCTGGAGGTCCAGGAAAACTCCTGAGATAACCCTGCAGTCTGCCGTGTACTTCCCACAGCCGCGTCGCTCCCAGTGCCTGGAGGGACAGTGTTCCTACCAGAGGCCGGGCTGTCTTCAGCACATGCAATGCAGGCACATTCTCTGTCTGACTCCACAGGGGAAACCCTCACCCAGCAGCCACCAACACAAGCTCCACGATCATCGGGGAGCTCTGCTTCCTGCAGGTCCGGTGGCCAAAATCCATCAGATGTACCCCCGCTGAGGCCCCCCATGATGTCCCTGTGGCAACAGTCCCCGGGACAGGAGGAGGCTGTTCCGCCTGGGCTGCAGGAGCTCGTGGGTCCTGGGGGCCCCACTGCGCAGCCCCCCAGGCCTTGCTGACAAGCCTTGAAGGTAAGCTCGGGTGTGTCGGCTGGCTGAGACGAAGAGTGAGCGGTGGAGCCCTGCCCTCTGGGCCCTGGGGTCCTGCTGGATTCCAGTTTCCACAGCATACCCTGTCCACCATTTATAATTAGGTCTCAATCAGCCTCCCTATATCACTAACATAGTATTCTGAATACGAGGATTTATAATTCACATGTGTAATAGTCACTCTGCGTGTGCCAAATGTGAAAACGTAAAGTAAAAGGGGTGTGTGTGCAAGAGAGACGATGCTATGCAATTATCTCCTCTCCAAAAAAAATCTTCACTCCCTAGGCTCTAGAATACACCTCTAGTGCCTGTGTACACCCCCTCATGGCATGTTTGAGGCCTCTACGTCCCTCGCGCCAAGGGACAGCCGCAAGGGCAGAGGCCTATCTCGCTTATGGACCAGGCACAGAGCAGGTGCTCAGCAGAGGCCAGGCCGAAAACAAGGCAGCTGCTGATGGTGACCATCTGCAGAGCCCCACTGCCTCCTGTTCTTACACAGGACAGTGTGGGATTAGTCCCTCTGGCTTCATCTCACAGAACGGGTGAGATTCGAGGAGATTCGTGAAAGGGTCCAGGCGCTGTCAGTGTCTGGGAGCTCAGGGCTGTGTGCAGGTCAAAGCAGCAAAGCAACCATGGAGTTACCCACCAGGGAGAGGGCTGGAGGGCAGAGGGCAGCAGGGAGTGCCCGGCACTGTCCCCAACCATGCCTCATGTGCCTATGGTGTGACAAAGATTTGTGCTTGCCCAAATTTTAGTCAGGCTCCTGAACTCTCTCCTGGGCCCACCTGTGCACTTCCTTGTAAAATCCAGTTTTAGCAAGAAACTCTCACGCTTGACACCTGATCAGGCTCCTCACCCCCCAGCAGAGGTCTGACCAACTGGCCGGCGTCAGCAAGGATCCTGCTGGGTGGGTTTGGCCAGAATCCCCCAACCCTGGTCTTTCCTTTTGGTCTTTTTCCATCCACTGCTCCCACTCTGCTCCTTGGCTAAATTCCCACTCGTCCAGGCTGCACTCGGAGCTGAGCCCAGCCTCTCCCCGCCAGTAAAACCCCCCGGAGTGGTCCCTATTCCTGGAGTGATGGTGCTGAATGAAGTCTTCCTCACATGGTACTTCACCAAGTGCCACTGAATAATGGTTTCCTTAACAGATCCAATGGCTTCCCTCCACAAATGAAGGCCCAATGTTAGGATCACTTCAGATACCACAGTATCAGTAAAAAGGGTAAAACATCACACCAGCTTTGAATTGGTCTTAGGAGTATAGTTTCTCCAAAATTATCCTTTGGAAAAACAGCAAGGCTTTTAAAATAACATAGACCTGGATTCAAAAACCCCAATTCTGCCCCTTCTGAGCTGTCATCTCAATGAAATTGTTTTCTCATCTGTAAAGTGGAATAAACCACAGTGAGATGGCAAAGCAGAACTAAACCCTCCTGTGACTGTGTTTGCTTTAACTGAACTGTCAGCCAAAGCCTCTTCAGAAACAGACTTGGTAAGCTAGCTCCACCTGAACCACACTCACCTGTTTTCTACACCTTCTAAACTGGGCCTCAGTATTTGCTGAACTTCTGCATGATTCACTTTAAAATACAACCGTGATGTATGATGTCCTTAACCTAGCAGTATATTCTCCGAGTTCTCCTAACACGCATCTGATACGGCAGCGAGTAAGATGCTAAGACATGCCCGAAGAGTGATCTTTGCTGAGGGATAAGATACCAAAGGGCTGCTCCAAAAGGCAGCTAGGAGGCGAGTGACTGCATGAAACCAGCTTGGAAAGGGAGGGCAAGATATTGCGCAGTCCCAACCACCTGCCCCAGAAGGTCTTTCGTCTTAGAAGTGACTTGTTGGAAATGAAACAGAAAAGGAATATGGAGGACACGCCTTTGTATGTGCCTTCCTTAATACACCAAGTATTCTCAAAGATGCGCTGGGCTGAGGCGGTCATGAGCCAGCCTCTCCTCCAGACCTCTCCAATAGACCCATCTCACAAGAGCAAGAAATGATATCTCAACTGGACAAACAAGGACGAAAAATTAGCGACTTCATCACTTTCCTGCTGAGAAACAGAATTCAGTGCGACAAAAGGAAACAAAACACATTCTGAAAGGCCTCCCTCGGGACTCTGGTCTCCGGCCACCAGAAGGCGTCTAGAAGAGACTAAAGCCTGGCATGGTCTGGATTAACAGCAGTCGTGGACGGCACCAGAGATCTTTCCCCTTCTGTCTCTGGCACAGACCTTGCCCAGCGTGAAGACAACTCATGAGCTATTACCGTCTGCCAACAATACACGCATTCTCGGGGCTGGCCAGGGACTTCTCTCCTACCTAACACTGGGGCCCTGGCTGCTGTCCAGGAGGCAATAAATTAAAAAGTTGTTTCTTGGAAGGCTTTTAACAGTCTACTTTGCAAACAAAGTAGCTCTAATCTCATGGTGAGAGGAAGAGTCTCCCAGTACGGTGGCTAAAAAGGCACTAGGACTGCCCTTAAGATGTGGAATTCTGAAAAAGCAGGTGAACTGAGGGGTCCCAGGGCACAAGCCCCTCAGAACCCCAAATAGCAGCAGGAGGGGAACACAGAATAACAGTAAGATTTGCCCTTTCACTCACCACAAAGGAAAGCAGCCACTAGAAACCCAATCATTAGTTCACAACCAACATTTATCTCATGCCGCCTGGCTGCCTGGCGCTCTTCTGGGAGCTGGGGACACAGCTGGGGACGAAACGGAGTTCCTGGTTTCGAAGAGCTTACACACTGCACGAGCAGGGATTCGGGGGCTGCAAAGTTAGTATTTTAGCTAGTGACAAGTGCAACGAAAACAATAATGTGGTTACTGGTAACCGACGTGATGCCGTGATATGCAGAGTCAAGGAGGCTTCCCTAACAAAATAACGAATAACTGGGAGAACGCCTACAAGAAAAGCAAAGTGCTCCAGGACAGGCCAGAGTGAGGGGTGAGGGGACTCAGCCTGGGGTGGGGGTTGGGGGAGGCCAGGCGCCAAGAGGACTGTGGAGCACACTCTCCTTGAGATGGTCTGAGTTCTCCGTGTGAGGCTCCCTCTGGCTGCTGGGCTGGAGCACACAGGACAGGAGAATGAGAGCGGTTCGGAGGCTACGGCAGTACTTAGGGATGGGGTGGCGGCAGTGTACATGGGGACCGGAGTCTGTATCTGTCCAGGGCGAGGCCACTGGGACGTGGTGGTGGGTCTGACGTGTGGTGAGGGAAGAAGAGCCAGTGTGGCCACAGAGCCCCTGTTGAGGGGCACCGAGACACCACATATTGACAGAGGGAGGCAGGGAGGCTTGGGCCATGGGGAGCCCAGAACTGGGGTCTAGACTCACCTCTCCTTAGAGAGTATTCAACAAAACTCACTGCACAGCGCTCCTGCCCTTGGGGAGCCACCCCATCCTGCAACAGGCCAAGCATTTGTTCTGCACTGGTAGTGGAGCAGCTAACATGTATAGAGGTGCACACCGTAGAGGGGGAAGCCTCGGCACTTTATCTAACCTTCGTGCTTCAGTCTTGTCACCTGAAAAACCAGGGGAATAATGTCATCTGCACCCCAAAGATACGCTGTGGGCATTGAATGAGTTAAAGATGTAAAGGTCGCAGAGCAGAGAACAGTAGGCCAACTCGACTGATCAGTGGAGAGATTCCTATGTACTATATACACACATAGATATATTTTTCCCCCTGGAATATATTCAACTGATAACCAAACCATTCTGCAGAATTTCCAGAGTGACAAGATGCTTATCAGCTCTGAATTACACCAAACACCAAGCTGAAAAAAGCTCTGGGGGCTACGGATTAGAAGAGCCAAGACGACGAGGCAGGCGACCAGGAAGAGGAATGGGAAAGTCCAGAGGAAAGACGCAGGAAGAGAGAGGAGGAGGGCAGTGAGGATGTGGCAAAACTGAAGACACGTGACAGAAGCCCTCGCTGCACAGGCCCAGGGTGCTCCTCCCCAGCGAGGTAGGAGAGGCTGTGGGGACGGGCATAGAACGAGTGGCCCACCCTGACCCCACAGATGGTGTCTGAGGGTACCCAGCGGTCGGCGTCAGCACAGACATCCAGGGGACACGGCTCACCTTGCCCACCCCATCCTGTTGGTGCTTCTCAGCCACCAGAGGGACACCGAGTACAGGCACACCTGTGGCTACAGCCAGCAGGCCAAAAAATGTCAGAGTAGGTCTTCACAGGCCTGTGGGGCAGGCAGACGGACCTGGAGGCAGTGTGGACGAGGCCTGCTGCCGTGGAACTCGGATGCCAGTGGGCTCAGAAGAACAAAGTGACTCGAGTTACCTGGAACAGCCATTCCTCACCTGGGTTCTGTCCACACGCCTTCCCTCCCCTTCACAGAGGGCAGCGGGGATATACCTAAACACTAAATGTCAACTCCAGAAACGTTACTCCGTGACTCAAGATGCACTCGTCCCTCCCTCAGGTGTGGGTTGCACCTACCGTGAGCGGCTCGCCCTGCAGTGCCTGCAGGATGAAGTTGCTGACCACCCGCCCGTCGTTCATGTGCATGCGCGGCCCGAAGGTGTTGAAGATTCTGGCCACCCGCACTTCCACGCCTTCCTGGAACGGAGAAGAGGAAGTCAGGCTCGCTGCCCCCTTACAGGCGAGGTGTAACGCTGTGTTTCCCGTGCCCTGCACGGAAAGCCTGTCAGACAACATTCTGCTTTTCATTCCAAAATGGACATGGCTTTTTTTGTTCTGATTCTACAGTGTCATTATAAGGCAATTTGGAGACTACGCAGAGTTATACCAAAAGAAGTCAAAGCTGTCCCAGACCTCACCACCAAAAGGCCACTAGCATTAACATTCTGGAAGAAAACCTGCTAGATGGGAAGATAGAGCAAAGAGCTTTATGTATTAATATACATTTCTTCCAAGTAAATATATATTTTGCCAAATGGGATATTATAAATACACTTTTGTAATCTTTTTCATGCAATATATTGTGCAAATTTATCACTCAATAGAGATATAAATGTCAATAATATTTGATAGCTAAGGAGAAAAACAAGAAAACTCTTTATCTTGAGGAAAAGGGGACATATAATCTAAACATTCTTAAAAGAGCTACCTTGTGCCTATGCTCCCAATCTGCTCTACTGAGAAGTTAATCTGTTGTAGTGATCAACTAAACACAACCTAGTGTCCAATACAGGTTATCAGGCAATGGCTTGGAAAGATACACACTGATGTTGTTTAAAATGGTCATTTCTACTATTCATTTGCATCTCCACGTTCATTTTCTCCTACATGTTTTTTGCTGTTTCTATCTTTACTACAATAAAAACATACTACTTTTGTAATCTGGGAAAGTATATTTTCAAATATGCAATCAGCAAAGTATATTTTTTAAACTGCAAAAGACTTCTCTAAATGATCTCGTTTAATTATTAACTTCACAGACTGCTTTGCCATGGATGGAAAAGTTAAATGTTTCTATCATAAATTCTGAGTGGGCTTTCACAGCGTGTGCTTCTAACGTTTGCCCCATTGTGCTACCAATGTGCATTTTCTGGGCATCTGAGGATGGGGAGCCTGGGGCATGGGGACCTGGGCTCCAGCTCCCGTTTGTTCCGCTGGCCTGCCACTGACTCTTGGCTATGGCGCACTGGTGACAGGGGCAGCACTCACCTGAGCCAGGTGTTACCTGATTGCAGCACAGTAAGTATTCGTTGCCATCACATCACCACTAGCTGAAACAGTTCTTCCCTAATTCTACCACCACAGACCTGGCACAGGCTGGGAAGCCATGGACTCTGAGCTAGCCCTGAGGCTTAGCACAGACTCTGCACCTGTGCAGCAAGTTAAAGGGGATGAGCCGGGCAGTTTGTACGTGAGATAGATGGGAAAGCATGGATCTAGCACACAGTTAACTCTTAGAAGCCAGAGTGCTTTGTTTGTGCCAGCTCCCCCCAGCAATACACTATATGATGCGCTCACAAGAGCTATTCAAATTCTTAGGACAAAAACATGACCTATGAGTCTAAGTCCAGGAATAATCAACCCTTTTCTCTACTGAACTAACTAGAGTGTATTAAAAAGGGTTGTGGGGTGGAGGTGGGGGGGTGATAGGGTGGGGTTGGGGAGGCAGAGATGTTGTTCTTAATAGAAAATAACTCAGAAGTATCCAGTTGCATTTAATTGATAAGACGAGGGAAGAATCAGAAGTGAATGAATATTGCTTAACTAGGAAGAGACTGGAAAAACCTCAGCAAATTTACAATAATCAAACCAATGTGCCCGGCAGGGGAAAAGCTCAATGGGTTATGCAAGTTTGCAACAAATCAAATGCTTTTATCTCCAAACCTTCCCCCTCCTCAAAACAACATTCCAGAACACGGCCTCATTACGAGCTGGGCTCTACAGACATCAACTGGCTGACATGTGAGCAGGCTGGCTTGTTCTGGTTTTTTCCGCGTGGCTCTGTAGTGGCTAGGCAGCCAGGACAACCTCTGCGCAGGTGCAGCAGCCACAAGTGCAACGACGCTTTTCCAAAAACTCAAGCTCTCAAGGCTGTTTTATACCAACTAGATTATCTAAGCCTGAATTCCTTAAATGAAATAAACATAAACCCAAGGCCCACTCAAGACCTGCTCTCCTCTCAGACGGTATTTCTGGAGCACGTATGCCAATCCATCTCTTTCTAGGTAGCGTCAGGAAACCCTTTGCCTTCACACAAAGGCAACCCCTGTTCAACATGCACAGTCCGTTGACCACCTGGTACCCATCCGCTTTGATCCTCAAGGTGGGACAGTCGGTGGGTGCTGACACGGCTGTTTACGGTGGCGGCTAGGTGGGGCCCATGTGCACGGCTTGGAGGAAGGTCTAATTATCAGCATCTCAGACCAGAGGAGAGGTCCAGTGTCTGACCCACAGCCGCCTTCCCAGGAAGGGAAGAGCCAGGCTGAAAACCCAGGAAGTTTGCTCCAGGCCACAAAGTCTCATTTAGGGGAGAGCCCACCTCTGAAGGCCCAAGAAGCAAACACATCATGAACTCCTGACTCCCAGGCAACGCCCCATCTGTGAGTGGCCGAGCCCTGCCCACCACCACGCTGGTGCATCTGAGTTTCCACCACGGCGAGACGCAGGGTCTCTGCACACACAAGGCCACCATTCAGAAAACCAACTGCCCGCTCATTCCTAGTCACGGCTGGGCTTCACTGTGCTCTGTGGTTTTGTCCCTTGTGGTGAACCATGAGTCATGCAGGACTCCAAGCAGCAAGAAGGACAAGGACAACTCCTTCAAGTTTGAGTTACACCAGCACAAAACCAACAGAAACTTCAAAGAGGATGGATACTTAGGGCCGCACACGGAAAGAGCACACCTGAGCACACATGAACAGCACACGAGTTAGCCCTGGGCATGGGGGCTGGGCTGGGGCACCTGGATGGCCTCATCTCAACCTGGCACTCACTAGCCACACTTTCGTGGGGAAGTCACTTCAGTTTCTAAGACTTAGATAATAATCTTAGAGATGGGTACAATAATATCCATTCTGCCTAGGTCACAGGGATTAAAAGAAAACAAGTGAAACTGCTTCGAACACTGTCGTCATCATTACCTATCTCCAGGTGATGGTTCTGAACCCAGTAACTGCCTTTGACCTTCATCCTGGTTCCCTCATTACACTAACTTATTGGGAAGTAACAGCGACCATGGGTAGAATATGTCACACACACTGCCTCCAGGCCGCTATGACTGCAAGAGACAGACTGAGGTTCCAGGAGGCCTTTGGGAACAGTGACCAGGTGGTGTATGGCCCCACAGGGTGAGCTGGCACCAGTCGCCTCATCTGGAGCAGTTCAGAGGTGAGGGGTTGGGTACACAGGTCCTGAGACATGGAGCCGATTAATGGTGGGATCAGACTGACAGGCAAGAGATGACCCAGGAGGCAGAGGGAAGGGACAAGGATTCCTCCAAACACCTTGTAGGGACATCAGTGTTACCAGCAGGGATTAAATGGGTTCTCCCTCAAAATTCCTTTTAAAATGCAATCATTCCTTATAGAGTTCAGGAGGTCCTCAAATAACGTCATTTTGTTCAACACCGTTTCATTGTAACATTGATGAGGAAAAAAATCGATCCAGGCCAGGACCGCTGTGTGGTGTGTGCACGCTCTCCCCATGTCTGTACGGGTCCTTTCCACATCCCACAGACGTGCACGTGAGGGGAACTGGTGTGTCTACATGGTCCCAGTCCGAGTGAGTGTGGGTGAGCGTGTGAGTGCGCCCTGCAATGGCTCCTGTCCAGGGCTGGTCCCCGCTTTGCGCCCTGAGCTGCTGGGATAGGCTCCGGCCACCTGCAACCCTGAACTCTGGAAAAAGCAGCAGGTAAAGAATTCTCTTGTTTTTATCAATCTTTCCTAAATGTATGTATAGCTCACATTCATTTCAATGTTCAGTATTAGAAGTGTTTTGGTCTTTATTTATAAGTTTGGTGATGTTTTTGTGAACCTAGCTCTGGTTTCTATGATGGTAAAATTGGTTTTGTTATATGTCCTTTTGCTTAAAGTCACAGTTTGCAAGAACCTATCGACCGAGTTAGGTGAGGACTTACTGTACTTTACCAAGCCACTGAACACTGCAGTGTCACTGTTCACTGACGGAAGGTACTAGAGGGTGCAATAGAGCACTGCATAGCGGGAGCAAGTGCTGACCAGAAGAGAACTTCATCCCACGGCTATGCCAACACCTGCTCTGAAGGAGATGCCCAGGGCATATTTACCTGCAGGGAGTGGGATGGAGAAATAACAGAAAGTGCTCCCGGGTGTAGCAGCCTCGGTCTGATGCTTCCTTAGTCTTCCTCATGCCCCAAGAGAAATACACACATTCCTAAGGCAACCGGGTTGGGTGGGGAGACTAAACCACGTAGTTCCCCAAGGCCTCTCATGCATGAATTTTGATGGGGTCTGATCCCTACCTGGGGATACAGCCAAAGCCACTGCAGAATGCAGAGCCCACTCTGCTAAGGCAAGATTCTCAAAGGTATGCAAAGTTCAAATTCACTCTGGGGGCTGGCAGAGGGAGGCAGCCAGGGTCTGGGGTGTGCGTCTGTATGTGCCTGACAGTGTTCCTCAATAGCCCTGCCTCCACGTCAACAACAGGGCCCACCTTCCTGATGTCTGCCCTGCAGCAGGCCGTGCCAACGCTCCCTGCAAGGCTAGGAGAGGGCAAGTGCTACTCTATGAAGGTTAGCTGGGGCAGGCGGGATGTGGCCAGGGGGCACCCAGCGAGCAAGTCACAGGACCAGGAACCAAAGCTGTTCTTGGGCGGGCCTGGAAGCACAGGTCAGGCCCGCTGTGGTGTGAATCTTACTCATCCAGCACTGGGCTTGTTTTGGCTGCTTGATTTTTTTTTTTTCAACTCAAATATAATACATATACCAACTCGTTGATTTTTTATAAAGAGTACTAAAGACAAGAAATGAAACAGAACCACACCCTCCAGGCCACTGGACTAGATGATTTCTGACTTTCCTTTCTTTCCGCTCTGCCACTATATGGTTTTGAATGGTGGCCTGTTTGCAGATCCAGCCCAGTGGGTGGGCCAGAGACCTCGGAGTCACACTCACGAGGGGGCGATGAACTCAAATGCACACTAAGCACTGACCACTGCCGACTGGACAGGCCCCCACATTTATAAAACCTCCACGCCCAATGCGCACAGAAGTGGTAATTTAATTCCTCTCTGGCAAGTTCAAACTACTCCTGAAATAGGCTTTTTGCCTTTTGATCCCAACTTTCATCTCATTCCATCCCCTGGAAAAACATTCGAGGAGCTTCTCTTTCTGTAAAGGATGTGTAGTAGGTTTCTTCTGGAAAATCAAATTCTGTTTTGAAAACATAAGGATATTTCATTCATTAAAAGAAACTCGAGAGAGAATCCTTGGGAAAAGGGAACATTTTTTATCAAAAGGTTATTCATACCTCTATATTGCTCATATTTTCAATCCATACATATTGTTTATTCAGAGTAAGACACATGCACCTACCCTATCAATTCTTGACATAAGATGACAATTTATACTTAAGAGATATGTGGTTTTGTATAAAAAATAAAAACTGAAGTCATTAAAATAATGAATTAAAAATATGCTGAAGGCACACTATTCTACCTGGTTCATCCTTCTTTCTGGTCTTTTTTTTTTTTTTTTTCATTTGTTTCCAGATAGCATAAATCCTAACACCTAAAATTTCAAATTTTCTGCTAAAACTTACTATCTCAAAGGCAGCACATTTAGAACCACAAACTGACAACGTCACAGTGCAGCTCCTTGTTGATTAATCTCCCTGCTGAGGAGCGACTGGTGCTGCTAGAGCAACCCTGTGTGGACTGCTCGTCCTGGGCACCGTGCCACGACCATGCAAGCTGCAAAGGAGTCTTCGCCACGTTGGACTCGCAGCCACATTGTCTTCTCTCACCCACCCACACTTCCGTCCCTGCACTGCCCACCAGGACAGCCGCAGGGGGCGGGGGAGCAGGCCCTGCAGGTAGCCAGCCTTAGGTTCAGGCCCAGGTGCTGGAACCCAGTTTTGGAGCTCGCCTCTCCCACCTGTGATGGGGCTGACCACACCCACCTCTGGGGGCTGTGGGGATGGGGTGAGGTTAAAACAGACCGAGCCCTAACAGAGGCTGAGCACACGGCAGGCACTTCGGCTCTGGTTCCTACTCCTTCACAACACCTGCTACAGGCACGCAGGGCGTCCTCAAATGATACACCACCTCTAGACCGACACTGTGCTTGGTACGCAGGACCTGTCAGGGTTATAGCCGCCGACAGGGAAAGAAACGAGAAGCAGCCAAGTCACAGTCCCAGAAAACAATAGTTATTTTGGAGCCTGTGCCCTAAGGAAGTCAGTGCTGCCCAAACCAAGCCGTACCCAGAGGGAAGCCCAAAGTGACCCACCTGTGCTGGCAGCTAACGTGAAACCCTGAGTTGAAGAATTTCAATGTCGTCCATGTATATATCCATCACAATCTTTACATGGTGGGTTTTTTTCCCTCTTGTTTGTCTCCAGATGGAAATATGGGTAAAAATTTTTCTTCCTTCTTGCTTATTCATATTTTCTCATTTTTCTACAGCTGGCAAAATATCCTGCCTTAGTAGGAACCCAAACAAGTCTCCACTTCGTGGTGTCTACTCTCACGGGCAGAGGAAAGATGCTGTTTCCCTCCCTCCTCAGCACTGATTCAGACAAAAAGGGAGACAGTGCTCAGGTACCAACCTTAGAGCCCAGTGGGGGTCATGTCTCTCAGACCAGTTGCTCTCCCTGCGAGGACAGGGATAATAGAGGGTGGGAGGTCAGAAGTGCCCACTATGCCTTCTTCACAGGCCTCTTGGAACTCAGGCCAGGCCTCAGTGACCTCATTGCACACCCACTGCTCTGGGCCACGTTGTCCCCTCCTCATTACGAGCCACAACCTCCAATGGTCTGCCCTGAAGCCACCAGAACCAGATAGGACTCTGGCCCTCATAGGGCCAAGGATGCGGTCAGTCCCTGACCTAATGACCACACAATGGGAACAAAGTGCGGCTATATCACATGCACCCATGCACCCCGACGTGCCACCAGGGCAGGCTTGCCTTGGGGTTGTCTCCAGAATGACAGACAGCTACAGTCCCCTGGGCAGCCGTGTTCAGCAGGTGTGCTACGCAGGACCTGGGCCCCAATAAAGCTACAGATTACTCAGGGCTATCTGTCGGCCAGGACCCCAAGTTCCATGGTCTCCTTCCCAGACAGTGCTGAGCCTGTCTCAACGTGGCGGTTCTCAAGCCTCGTCGCATGATGGAAAGAACCAGGCATTGTTCCCACATGTAGAACCCACAGTGCCCCAGTGAGAAGTACACGATGACCTTGGCCACATGACTGCGTGCTGTGTCCACTCCACAATTGTCTGTGGGGCCCGCCTGCGTGGAGGCACATGCCTGGCGACCCCATAGAAGAGGTATCACACCACATGAGTGCCAGGCAGCTCCTCACCAGGGCTGCCCTTGCTGTGCAGGGACACCCTCCTAAGAGGGTGTTTGTCAGGGACACTCAGACTTGGGCACAGGGGACCAGCTGACCACACGAGCGGCTTCTAACAGATACATTATTTTATAGGTTTCAGGACAATGCCACTCATGCCATTAAGCTCCTGAGATTCACGTGAGCAGAAATTTAAATGCTGCCATTTTGGAGTTATGTAGGTGCTACTTTCCTGAGTCCCTTTGGGAACAGATGACATGGACAGGTCCCATGTTAGCATGTGTGTGAAATGCAGACCCCAGCTAGATTCCAGGCGCCTAGAACAGTGCCTGACATACAGTCAGTGCTCAATAAATGCTGGCTCTATTACTATTAAATATTACAATTATCATGAGCATATACACAAGGTAATATGTACACTCATAAAATTATCAACTAAGTTAAACTAGTGATCATTCAATAAAAACTAAAAGTTCAATAAAAATGTCCTATTTGCCTACCAGCTTTACCTATGTAAAAATTCACTAAGTAAGAAATATAACCACAGGGCTGAAAGCAACAGAGAACAGTAGAGAATCATATTACTCTTGAAATTTATTACACACCAAAATGCAATAACGTGCCCCTCACACTCTAGTCGGTTCATGTAAGTACCACTGTACACAGAGGTTGTTCTGTTTGGGAGATCACCTTAAACTTTTCGGTCAAGATATTCTGGGCCCCCAAATGATAAAAAGCACGTTCCCACTAAAACTAACATTTCTTAGAATAAGTGGATAATATTAAGCCAACAGGCCAAAGTGGCTTAGAAAGCAATTAGCTCTGCTTCTGGTTGAGAAACAAAGCAGAAAGGTTTGAATATTTCCACAGCACAAGATTATTTTATGTATCTTTAACGTTGGTATTTCATTAAACATATAATGAAAAAGACAGCCCCTGACAACCTCTTCCCCCTCCCCAAAAAAGGTAACACAAGCCTGCGTGATACTGTGCTGTGCTGCCATCTGCAGTAGCATGGAGACAGAAGGTGCTCAAAGTCTGACCCACAGAGGTCAAGAGCAGGGGACCTGGCCCTCGGCATGCACCCGAATGCTGGCCCTCTGGGGACGTCAGACAGACGCTTGGGAAGACTCCCTGGGCACTGGGCACCCAGATGCTACCCTCCCCGCCTCAGCAAAGCACACAGCCAACAATGCCCTGAGCTCACCTGCTGCTGGAGCCCAGGGCCAGACACTGCATCTGTCCACAGCCTGTCCCAGAACATGATTCCATGTCCATGTTTATTTAGCTGCACATCCCACTTTGCTGAAGGCTGTTTTTATGAGGATCTGAGTGCAGATCCAACCCCATGAAAACACTCACCGAGAAAATGGATGGACTATCCCAATCCCTTGTCTGAGCCCTTGGGGGCCCCCTCCGCACAGCCCTGAGGCAGGCAGGGCAGGTGTGATGAACCCCGTATGGAGATAAGAACTGACTGACAAACAGGTCATGTCTCCAAGTCATATGGCAGCAGAGCCAGTATGGGAACCTCGGCCTCTTGGTCTATAAGCCATTTCTGCTATAGCATGTGAGTGACCAAACCTGTAACACGAACCATTGTTGGGGACAGGAGTGGTGGCACACACCTATAACCCCAGCACTTTTGGAGGCTGAGGCAAGAGGATTGCTTGAGGCCAAGACTTGGAGACCAGTCTGGGCAACGTAGCAAGACCCTGTCTCTACAAAAAAGAAAAAAAAAAAAAAAAAAGAGCCGGGCATGATGGTGTGTGCCTGTAGTCTCAGCTACTCTGCAGGTTGAGGTGGGAGGATCACCTGAGCCCAGGAATTTAAGGTTGCAGTGAGCTATGATGATGCTACTGCATTCTAGCCTGACCTACAGAGTGAGACCGTTTCTAAAGAAGAAAAAGAAAAAGAAATATTCCTGGTAAAAGCACCCCAGCCTAACCATGAATAATGAAAAAAGTATGAAATAATAGTAAATAATATAAGTAACAATTCCTAAAGAGGCTCAAATTAAAAAATAATGAATTCATTTTTATACTTAATAAGATGAAAAAGGAAAGCCAAAAAAAGAGAAAAATCTGATCTGGAGGTTTCAGGAGCAGAGGCACTAATTAGCTGCTGGTGAGTGATTTGGCAATAAAGAGGCATTTTGTTCATAGTCACACAGTATTCCAATCCTACGAATTCATCTCTAGGAAATCATTTCTAAAACAAGGAGATAGATGGGAAAGTGGGCTTGCCCAACACCCACCCCCAGGCAAAGTTAACCACGGCATTAATTCCTTCCCAGCACTTTACATCTGATGTGAGGGCGCTCTGCCTGTCTACACCACAAGCCCAGAGCCTGGTGAAATACCTGCTTCATGTAGGCATAGCACATGGTCTCTGCGACACGCTTGCCTTCGTCGTAGCAGGCCCGTGGGCCGATGGGATTCACGTGGCCCCAGTAATCCTCACTCTGAGGGTGGACTTCAGGATCTAAGGATGTGGGGAAAAATGAGACTGTGTTTTCATCTTTCTTTTTTTAGCTCATATGCATTATGAACAATGTATATTTATGATGCAAAAAGGAACTTAGGAAAGACCCAGGAAACATTTACAGATGGAGAGACATCAAAGAGGCAACGTCAGGCTCTTAGTCCATTCTTTAAGTTCCACTGGATGTGGTGGTCTTACCTCCAACATTAAGTAATGATAGTATTTTACAGGAAAAAAATAAAAGATCACGTCTCTAAATTTTAAGTCTTCCCTCTCTTCTGTAAATTGTTCTTAACTTTTAGACTGCTATACAAACTACAGTTAAATATAATCTATGTGAAGAGCTATGTGGCTTAGTTTTATATTTGTAAAATCTATAATTAGAGCAAAACTTGCATTTATTAAAAAAATTTTAAAACACAACCTCTCTGTAGAGGACAATGACTTTGACACGTGGCATCACCAGAACAAGTCTGACACCCATGATGGGACACCCTGGAGGCTCCAAGGAGGTAGGTTGAGAGACGAGTGTCCACCGACAAATGATTGCTTGCTCCTCTAGCGCACAATTTTATACTTCCCAGTTCCTGATTTCTAGTGTATAAATCACACTTTAAGATGTACCAGGGGAATAGACTATTTAAAGAAACCAAGTAATGAGTTCTTTTTTTAACACAAGTATATTTCTGGAATGTGAATTAACACCTAATGTATCTAATATGCCAAGAATTTTATATATCCTCTAAGTACAACCATGATATAAAATCTATAAATCTTTGCCAAGGAATCTGGACAAAAAGTTACAGAGACTCCATGCTATAAATGCCTATCTTGCTTATCTTACACCCGAAGTCTGACTTGGGCCTATGCACACAGCGCAGCGGGGTGAACACACACGTACCCCGGCACCTGCACCCGCGCAGTTGGCCTCCCCGGGAGACCAGCACAGCCTCAGAAGGTCTCTGTATCTGCTGCTGTGGCTTAAAATTCCCATAAGAAGGGCAAATTTTTCACTGTCCAATGAGAGCAAAGGTCTATGGAAAATACTCTTTGAGACAAGAAAACCAATTACTTAAATTCAGAAACGTACTGCATGATTAACATCAGAGCTTTTCTGTGAATTTTTGACAAGAGCTGGGCAAGCGAGACCCAGGAAGAGCTGGCCATAAATTTGGTAAAGGACGAGGCAGAGGAGGCTTGGCACACCCATCTGCCCCCAGGCTGGCACCGTCTGCACTGACATGCCCAGGACACCAAGCCTCTAAAAAGTTCTTTTTTCAAAATCACTTTGGAAAAAAATGGGGCAAAATTACTTTGTTATAACAAAAGTAAAGGTCTAGAGTAAAACATGATTTCCTATTATCTCCCTTTTTCAGCATTTTGTGTGGCTAAGAGGTTAAGCAAACACTCTGCAAAACTTGTTTACTTCTGTTATTAAACATCAGAGTAGAGCAACTGGTGAATTTCACAAACTACGCCCTAAAATTGTTTAAGAACCCTAAAGTACACAAGCTCTTATAAAATATGCAGATAATAAATGCAGCGGGTGGGGAAGAAGGGTGGCCGTGGAGATGTCCTGTGCCCTTCTGGACAGTGCCATGGGGGGAGGTGCATGCTCTGCCCTTTCAACCAACCAGGACGTCGTGGAAGTGGACGATGCACATTTTCATAGCTATCACAAAGAGTATCACTGCATTCAGCAGCATTTCTCTGTTGCAGATTTTTTTTACATTTGGTTCCTTTAACTAAAAAAAAGAAAAAAAAATTCTTTTCCAATTTTACTCTTATTTCCTAATTTCTCTTGTCTATAGCAATGTGAAATAAAAAAATTATATCATGCCAGGGCTTGTTTTCTGCTGCATCAACTAAGCAGTTCTCCTAAACCCTGCACACTCAGTTGGTTTGGGTTGAACAGAAATCAACACAAACTGAAAATACAGCTCTCACCCACTCCTCACACTCACTCCAAAGCAGTGGCAGGGCCTGGGAGGGAGGAGGAAGACTGCAGGTTGGTAAAACATACTCATGAGTTTTCTGGCACTACCTGCTTAAGGTCCTTCCAGAAACTGTTATACAACAGGTGAGGCAATCTGCACATGTCTCCTCTCCCAGCAAGCTTTCAAGGCCAACCTGTAAGTTCTTGGTGGGTCAGGCCTGTAGCATGCATCCCTCACACAAAATAACATGCATCACGAGAATGGCAAAAAGATCCCTAGACAGTGTGATTTCTGGGGTCTCTCAGAGCAAAGTGGCAGCAGCACTTCTGTGGAATCACAAATGGTGGGACTTTACTGGCCAGGTAACAGGGAACAGTCCTTCACAGAGGAGTGTGCGACCCTGAAGGCTGAGACGGGGAGCCTACTGATTGTCGTGGACGAGAGGAGCACGAGTGGGCTGAGCCTTCTCAGAAACGAGCCCTGGACTCATTTAAGACAGCGCAAACAGCCCACTGGGCCCCGCACTCACCTCCATACACCTCGGACGTGGAGGCCAGGAGCAGACGGGCGCCGACTCGTTTTGCCAGCCCTGTGGAAAGCAAAGACATGAACAGAAACTGTACGGGCACAATTTTTGTGGCCAACATAAATAGTGCTTTAGTATCAAAGAAATCTGATTATCCATCCAACCATCCGCTCTTATTGCATCTGCTTTGGCACCAAAATAAAAACAAGCCATAAGACAAACACAAAGGGACAGTACTTAGTTGGATACTTGTAGCGCCAGACACAGAATCTGTTGGTTTAATAAACTGTGACTTGAAAAGTTTCCTAAAGACTCCTCTGCTCCAAATACCACTCGGTATCTTATAACTTTACCTTGGTTGGCAGAAAGCAAGGCTCTTCTCCCCCTAACTTCCACAATGGTCTGCCTGCTGCTTCCCGAATGTGCCCATGCCTCCCCTGCCTGGGTCACTCCCCACCCATCTTCCTGCCGCCTTCAAGGTTCAGCTTCAACAGCACCTTCTCCAAAGCAACTCGCTCCAGTCCTCAATCCTGTCGTGGACCCCTTTCCTGCATTTACCACTCACATGGAGAACTGGCTAGAACATCATCATCTACGATGTGCAAAGCCTTCCAAATGTGACTCTGAAATGTGACCCTTTCTGAGTCCAAATGCCTTCAATGTGTGCTGGTTCATCGGTAGCTCCAAGAAGCCCACTGATCTTCACCGAGCCCCATGCTTGGACAGGGGACATTCGCATCCCCAAGAGCTACCACACTAGAGGGGGCTGAGCTGGACACTCCTTACAGGCATCTGGCCTTGCACATGGGGCAGGGGGCCAACGTGCTGCCCGTGAGTGTTGCTAGGAGGGTGAGATGAGGCATGCACACACGATGCAGGGCGCTTCTGGGGAGGCCAGGGTAGGGCAGAAGGGTCCTGGTGTGAGGGGCTGAGGGGTGACTGTGTCTGAGCATCTGGGGCAGGGAAGAGGGGAGCCACGAAGACACAGGTCAAAATGAGAGAACCAGGTGGCTAAAAAGACTGGGAATGCCAGTGTACTTGAGGAAGAAATGCTAAAAGGGATGTAGCTTAAGATGAAATTTACAGGCTATCAACTTCACAGGCCTCGCAGAAGTCTGTGCGGTAGTTCACCACACGATGTTACGGCAGAGACAACAGCAATAGCTTCAAAATGAAGGGTTCTGAGGTCTTTTTCTTTTTCGTAATTAAAAGTTTTTATTTTGAGATATTTGTACATTCAAATTCAGCTGTAGAAAGTAACAGAGAGACCCAATGTACGCTTCACCCACTTGCCCCCAATGATGAAATCTGCAAAACTAGATAGTGTCACAACCAGGATACTGACCTGTGACATAGTCAATGAATATTGTCACTGATATAGACATTCCATTGACACAAGTGACACAGAGCATTCCCGTCTCCCCAGGGATCTACCACCAGCCCTTTTACAGCCTCACCCCTCTTTTCACCTTCCCACCCCCAATAACCCTGGCAACCACTAATCCATTCTCTGTTTCTATAATTTTGTCATTTCAAGAATGATAAATAAATGGAATCATATGGTGTATGACCTTTTAGGAATCAATTTTTTCACTGAGCACATTTCCCTCAAAATCTCTGTAAGTTGCTGGGTGTGTCAATGGTTCCTTCCTATCGTACTGCTGAGTGGTGGGCCAGGGAATGGATGCACCAGTTAATTTCATTAATCCCCCATTACAGGACATTCCAGCTGTTTCCAGGTCTTGATCATTACAAATAAAGCTGCTATGAACACTTATTACAGGTTTTCATGTCAACATAAATCTTCATTTCTCCAGGATAAATGTGCAAGATACAATGAGTGAGTCATATGATACTTGCATATGTAGTTTCTTAAGAAACTGTCAAATTGGTTTTCAGAGTAGCTGTACCATTTAGCATTCCACCACCTGAGGTCTTTCTAGTTTGTAGTTTTCTCTAAACTTTGGTAACATACACACATCACATACGCAATGTGTTATATTTTCGAAAGCAACTGAGCTTAAAGATTTTGAAGCCAGGATATTCCTGTATTGTTTCTGTGGAATGACTTCAGCAGGATCCAGAGGCAGCATCCTGGGGTGAGGCCAGGGAAGCTATCCTGGGCTGCTGTATTACCCAGGTGTTTATGCCGAGACTGGCCAAAGAATTTTCATCAGACAAAGACACCAAGCACAGGACCCGGGAGGTGGGAAAGTTGCAGAGAGGGAAGGTCTTGACCAGGAAAGAAGCAAAGTGCGGCGCCACTTGTCTCAAGTGTAAAATGGCTAATGACAACTCCTCTTGATTTGAAACGCAAAGTCCCATTTGGGTTCCTTTCCAGCCTAGCGATGGTCTCTCTTTAGCTTGTATCCATGTCATTCCTGGAAGACTCTTTACCATTCCTGCAAGACTCCACATCCAGTCTCACTCACAGGACAAACCCTAGCTCAAGTTACTTTTGCTTGAACTCTAATAGCATTTCCCTGGGGCCTCTCTTTTGGAACCTTCTCTTTCTACTCGGAATCACTGATGCTTGTGCCCATACAGCACCTCCTCGGTGAGACACCAAGCTCCCTGGCAGAAGTCTGAGTGTGGCCCTTAACTAAATCTGCCCCCCAGTGGACAGTACAGTGCCTTGGGCATAGTGAATGCATCCCCTAAACAGGAAGAATAAATGATAGCTCTCTAAGCACCATGTGGATGATGGACTTTTCCTCTACGGTCTAGTTCTGGTATAACAGAGGGGGTGGGGGGGGCGTCTGAGAGAATGTGAGGAGGGGTGGGAAACTGCAGTGGCAGAACAGGTGCAGCCTCTACCCTGGTACACCCTAAGCAGAAGCAGGGGCACCCTGTTCTGTCCAGTGACCCAGGCAGGGGACAGTAACTAAAAAAGACAAATGCCCTTTCTAGACTGGAAGAATGAATCATCTTATACCACACGGAACTTGACCCTGTGATGGTTAACTTACGGGTTAACTTGACTGGGCTAAGGGATGCCCAGGTATTTGGTTAGGTGTTACTTTTGGGTATATCTACAAGGGTGTTTCTGGCAGAGATTAGCATTTGAACCTGTAGGCTAAGTAAGGCAGATGGTCCTCCCCAATGTGGGCGGGCCTCATCTGATCCCTTGGAGGCTTGAATAGAGCAAAAGGATGAAGGAAAGACATGGATCTTCAGCCCTTGGCTCTCCAGTTCTCAGGCCTTTAAACTGCACCACCGGCTTCCCTGGGTCTCCAGCTTGCAGGAGGCAAATGGTGGGGCTTCTCAGCCTCCATGATCACATGAGCCAATCCTTCATAATAAATCTCTTTCCACATATCTATTAATATATATATCCTATTGGTTCTGTTCTCCTGGAGAACCATGATTAATACAATTCCTCAAAATATTTAGTTGAAGAGATTTTAAAACCAATCTCTGGTTGCCCTTTCAGTCCTTTGGCTTCACGCTTGTGCTGTACTTCCTGAAATCCATGTATAGAACCGATTTTAAATGTTCCTATAATTAAATCCATTTTTTACTTGACATTTTAAAAAATGGTCCTTTTCTTCTACTTTGCAAATAATCAAAAGCTCTAGCCTAAAAAAAAAAAAAACTGTGCTAAACTTAAGCATGCCTCTAATTTTGAACATTAACATGTACATATTGCCCAGAGCTATAAATCTAAGGCATGTTGTTTGTGAATACACAGGTATGGCCACCCTTAACGATACTTACTCTTTCATCTTTCACTAATGTGAATCCTGGGGTTCAGTCTAGAACAGGTACTCAGTTTTGACAACCCCACATGTAGACACGGCTTCTCTGTCCACTCCTTCAAGGACTGGTATTAAATCTCCCTTGTGTGCAAGGCCATGCCAACCCAACCCAATCTTTGGATCAGAGCCACCGGCACCCCTCTGCAGCAAGAGGCACCCATCTGTCCTAGGTGTTGGTCAACTGGTTTCAGAGAAGAGGAGCAATGCTGGGTGGCCACGTGAAGTCCATGTAATCACCTCAGGGATTCACACAAAGGCAATGCAGACTAGTTACTGCAATGCATGAAAGTTAGGCCATCTTCCCCAAGACAAATCCCAATGACAAAGTAACACTGAAATAACACTGCAAAGCTGCCAAATGCCACAGGCTGTACAGTGAGGGAGAGGGGTAAACACCCTGATCAAACTCTAATAGAACATTCAATTACCTATGCTTAAAATCATCTAAAATATTCCCAGCAAGGCCAAAAAAGACAAGAAAACAACAACTTACCCAACATGTTTAGCGTCCCAATCGTATTGGTCTTTAACGTCTTGATAGGATTATACATGTAGTTTGGAGGGGAGGCTGGCGATGCCAGATGGTATATCTGGTCAACTAAAGGAGACAAATGGAAGCCTATTATTTCCAAGAAAAACACTAAAAAACTTCTGAACTCCCAGGAATTATACAATAATATAATAAAGGTATTAGTGTACCTTTTACTGAAATTCTAGTTGGTTATAGTAGTCTTTATAGAAACTAATTTACATTTCTAATTAGAAGAATTTTAAACAAAAATAGAAAATCTAATTATCTGGCAACAAAAACACGTGCTTAGCCAGTTATTTGGGTCTGTTCTTCTATAACTAGAGTTCATCTGATTACCAAGTTGACTGTTTTCTGAGACATTTGTCCCAGATAAAGCATTCAAATCTGAAGGAAGACATTTTTCAGGCACAGAATTAAGTATGAATATCTAGAGCAAATGTTCTTAGTTTGTGAAGCAAATCTGACATAAAAGCAAAGACAGGAAACTATGGGAGAAATTAGCCTTTCCTTTTGTTTTCATACATTCTGTGTACATAAAACCAGACCCTGGGATGACACTTGGGGAGGGTGGTTTTTAAAGCCATGAGTAGCAAAACAATTCAGATTCCAAACAACTACCTGTGTACAGGCATTCACTTTAACATCGTCACCCACAGCCCTCTGCCGCCCAGGCCAGGTAACACCTGTTCACAGGACAGAGGCCCTCGGGAACCAACCTCTCCCTGTGAAATGGCAGTGATGGATAAACACGTGTGAGGAAAGCATCCTTCCAGACAGATCAAATCTGTGCCATGCCATTCTACTTTAGCTACAGGTGAAAGAAAACAAACCCACCATCTACAGGAGAACTGAGGAACGGGCACCTGAAAGCTTCATTGCCAAAATGAGTCCTCCCTTGTGTATAGGCATGCAAGAGCACCTGCAGGACTCCTCTGCCTGCACTCTCCGGCTCCGCTCCACAGCCTCCCGCCCTCTTCCCGACCAAGGGACCGCTGCTTTCCTTAGGCTCCACAACGGATCAGTCTGGAGATTCTCAATCAAGCCTTGCTCTGTATCAGTCACCCAGTGAGGTGGTACCTGGGCTCCCAATACCCCGACACAGGGGTTCTAGGCTGGGAGACTCTGGGCCTTTATATGTATATTTATACATACATTTTAAAAAGCTGAAAACCACTGAGTTAATTTAAAAATGGAACCACTGTTTCTCTTAAAAATATTTTTTCAAGAGAACCAAGAAAACACAAAACCTTGAAAAATTGTAGATAATCTGTCAATATGCAAATTAATTGAACAGATCTTTCCTAATAAGAGAAAAATCCTGTGACTATTGTCTCCACTCCCACAAATTATTCTGAGTTAATAGCTAAAAATAAAAGCAAACAAAATTCTACTATACAAGTGGTAAGTTAACAAGACAGCTTTTTAAAATTAATTCTCACAAAATCCCACCATTCTGGGGCCCATGCTATTTTTTGCAGCTTACAGCTAGGACCAGCATGGACTGGGTCAGCACCTGCACACCCTGCCAACAAGCTCAAGGGCTGCAGGTGGAAGTGGCAGGACACTGGGACAGGCACTGAGTTTCTTCTTCTAAAAACACCACCTCTCACCCACTGCCACTCTGGAGTTAGGATGGTGCCAGATTCAAAACAGAATGAGTCTGGCTGGACCTTCAGAGCTGAGCATGACACCTAAGAGCCCACTCAGGTGTGACAGACACATCTGCTCATATAGACCAGGCTGCCCTATGTGCCTCAAAGACAGTGTAGACCACAGCGCGTGTGTTGTTATCCTACAGAACAAATTATTCAGCACTATTTTTACTCTTGAGGCTACAATATATGCAGGAAAGACAGGAAACTGCATTAAAGACTAAGAGGAAACGTGTGTCTTGAGAGTGCAGGATACCACCCTGATATCTAACAGAAAGCCACTACCATTAGCACACGCCCTTCCCTCCCCATCTGCTCCAGGCCACACTTTCTTCTTCAAGGCTCAACCCAGAGGTCAGCGTACGTGGGAAACCTCCCCATCCATCCTTGGTCAGAGATGATCCCCTTCCCACTGGCGGCTCCCGATGCTTCATGCCGCCTTGCCAAATGATTCACACACATCTTCTTCACCAGACAATAAGCTCATGAAGCACAAGACTTGAGTGTTTCCTTCCTTCTGATCTCCACATAGCTTTGCCTCTGCGGGGAGGGCAGACCCCCGCCGTCACTTCAGAGCACACACGAATGCAGATTCCTGGCCCACTGCAGGTCTAATCCATCAGGATGTGCAGCTGGGCCTGGAAACCTTCCACTTAAAACAAGTATCCCTCCACGGTGCTATGGCTCAGGCCAGTTTGGGAACAGTGCTCAAGGAAAGCCAAATAAAGAGATGAGCCATAAATTGGGGTTTTCCATCCAAAAAGGCTATTCCACCTGGTTTGTCGTTTTTTCACCATTCGACAGGTTTGTCCTACTGTTGTTCCTGGAAAGCAACTCAGGATAACCCTCAAACTGTGTCATGACATTTCCTTAGGTAGCAACACTGATGCATCATCCCATGCAGGAAGAACCTGAAAACACCATGAAAACCAAAGTTCTCTGCAGCCCCTCTTCCCTAGGAGAATGCGTTCTGCCTTCATGTTAACAACAATAACTCCAGTTCCTATCCTAACAAGGACACTGCAGCAGAGTCTGTTGATTAATTAATCTGGTAAGGAATTAGGAAGGGGAGAGAAGAGGGGACACTTCAGAGCAGGGATAAATAGCCAGCAATGAGAAGTACTACATAAATTCTAAGTGATATTAATAACAACCAGTTCTGGAATGTAAATGAAGCAGCAAAGAGAACCCTCACTGCCCAGGAAAAAAAGCCCTCAGAGCATGTCAACTGCATAGTTCAAAGTACATGGAAAATGAGCATGACATTCAAAAATCCAAGTTGGGGGTCGAGAGAGAAAGACAAAGGGGGAAGGAAAGGCATGCCCGGACACAGGGCGTGCTCGATGCTGACCGCCAAGTGGCCCTGCCATGACCCTTTCACATTTACAAGGCCATGTGCCGTGAGCTCAGCTAGAAAAACAGGAGCCTCAAGAGAGGAGCCTAAAAGCCCCAATTAGTGATCAACAGCATTCCTGCCAGAAAGCTGGCAGGTGCCCAGGAAGGGGCAGGGTGAGGGGACAGTGGAGGTTGCAGGGCCCTGCCATGAACTCCGACGAGGGAAAACCCAACCAGCCTAACCACAGAGGAACTCCCTATGGGTCCTTGGGATGGATTTCTCTGTGCCTGAAATCTGCATAAGTAATACATCAATTGAGAAGAAAAAAATCACCGCAAGAACTCGGGGTAACCCCAAACCATTGTTCATAACCCATCAGAGAACTCAAGCGTTACATTCTGCCAAAGGGAAAATCCACATAAAAAACAACTGCATGTTTCCAGGCCCCCGCTGATTTTTGTTCTTTGCCTAATTTCCTGACGTAGCTGCATCAAGGATCCTCCTGTGCCACGCCCAGGCCCCAGTGAACTGCCAAGTTCCACTTAAGGATTTGCACCATGAAACTGAAGACTATGGAAACAAAAAAAGCAAAACTATGAGTTCACTTTTTCTATGAACGCGCATGACTATTTAGCATACAGTAAAATCCCATCATGTAGATACTTGCTACAGAATTCTTTTTTTCTACACCCCGAGTCAGAGGCCTGGCGGAAATACCACGCAATGAGATGCCACTCTGTGTAACATGGAGTTCCATAGCGTGGCCCTAACCCTCCTCCCTAGCAACTGTACTTATGATGGCAAACAGGATTTAAGAAGAGACTGACTTTCTCAAAGTATAGAGACCAAATTTTTCTTGGCACAATCCTGGGGTTACCCACCAGTGCTGCTGGCTAAGTACTGAGGGGTCCACCTTCCCTGTGACGGTACCTCAGGGAGAAAGTATTTCCAGTACCCTGGGCTGCTCTGTAGGAAACCCCTCATGGCTCCAAATTAAACAGAGGGAGATCTCTAAGAGCTGCTGCCTCTGCAATTTATATTTATATTTGCAATATAAACTGAAAGTTGAGAAAAGAAATTTCTAAATTATACTTCAACAGAAATACTCTAATCAGAGCTGCATGCCTCAGATGTCTACATAAATATGGACCAACTATCCTTGGCAAACACTGTTCCCACCCCACCTTTTTATACTGGGTGTCCAGCGTTGGTAACCTGGCCTCTCCCTTTTTCCCTTTCCTGGCAGCCCCCCTCACGGACTCCTATGGGACCGGAGCATTCAGGTAAAAGGTGGATAACAGAAAGGGCTCCGTGCCTTGGTTTCCTCACCTATGAAATGAGGAGAGTAACTGCCTACCTCTTATGAGCATTGAGAGAATTAAATATGCTAATCATAAACACTGATGAAAACAGTGCCTGGGAATATAGTAAGTGCCCAAGAAGTGTTAACTATGGTCACTTTCTTCTTTTATTTTCCTGGAATTCTTCCACACCAGTACTACAAGTTCCATGATCGTTCTCCCCACAACATAATGGGCATTTCTGCCTTTTCCTGTTCCCTACAGAAATACTGGTCTCAAGATTTCTGTGTATGCAGATGGTGGAAAAGTAAATTGGGACTTTTCAGGGAGGCACAGGATCTATGTATCAGGATTCTGAAAAAACAAGTGTTTTGTGATAATGATGACAAAGACGTAGATCAGCGGTCCTCAAACTTTTTGGCGCTAGGGACTGGTTTCATGGAACACAATTTTTCCATGGTGAGGGGGGAGGTGAGGTACGGGTAAATGGTTTCAGACGAATTCTCACAAGGAACGCTCGCTCAGTCTAGATCCCCTGCGTGCGCAGTTTACAGGAGGGTTCACGCTCCTATGAGAATCTAATGCTGCCACTGATCTGACAGGAGGCAGAGCTCAGGTGGTGATGTGAGCGATGGGGAGCAGTTGTAAACACAGATGAAGCTTCCCTGGCTCACCTGCGGCTCACCTCCTGCTGTGCAGCCCAGTTCCTACCAGGCCATGGACCGGGACTGGTCCTTGGCCCCAGGGGTTGGGGACCGCAGACTTAGAATATATATACTGGGTGGCTTTCTGAAGCAAGGTTTACGATGGCCCCATATTGCGAATAACCTAAACATCCAACAACACAAGCATAATGAAACCTTACCATAGTCATACCATGAGGATTTGCCAGTAAGTAATGCAGAGGGGGAAAAATGTATCTTTGTAAAGGGATCTGATATAGCCATACAATAGAATACTAAGTAGCTGCCAAAAAATAAAAATAAATAAAGTAGCTCTGTATGTATGTTATAGAAATAGCACCAGGACACAGTAAGTGGAATACAGTAAGATGTAGGGCAATATATAACAGCCTACTTTCACTATGAACAGGGAGAAATACCAATACCTATTTGTATTAGCTGGGTCGCATACAGACATTGCAGATGAATACAAAAAAATGATTAATAGCAACTTCCTGAGGAGAGCTGGGAACTGGAAAAATGAGAGGTGGAGGCAAGAGGGAGACTTTTTACAGCATTATCTTCTGTTTTTTAAAAATTAAGCATGTTTTTAATTTAAAAAATCACATTTAGAAAAGGACTGGGCATTAACATCAACAGATTATTTTTGAATAGAAGGATTAAAGATGATCTTCTATTTGCTTTTTCATGCTTTTCCAAATTTTAACATGTATTCTTTTCATCGTCAGAAAAGGATATTCTTTTGAAAAGAGAAAAAAATTAAAGATTCTCCTCCATCTCATTCATCAAATACATACACAAGAAACCTAATTCTTTCATTTAGTTCAACGTTTTGTTAATTTCTCTCGAGACTTCTTTGACACACGTGTTCTGTAAAAGTCTGTTGTTTAATCCCTGAGTATTTTGTGGTTTTCCAGCTATCTTTCTGTTACTAATTTCTAGTTTAATTCCACTGTGGCTGAGTACACTCTGTATGATTTCCAGTCTTTCAAGTCTGTTGAGGTGTATTTTATGGTCCAATTGTGCAGAATGTTCCATGTGACCCTCAGAAGAACCTGTATTTTGCTGCTGTTGGATGAAGTGGGCATTGTGGGAGCAGAAAGAGGGAAGAGATTGGGTGAGGAAGAGGGGAGTTATCAAATACAGGGAGGAACCCACTGAAGAAGAAAGAAAAACAGGCTTTAAACTACAGAGGTATAGAAATGTCTTATGCTCTCCCAATACAAATGCCGACTGAGGGAACTTAATACTCTGAGCAAAAGTCAAAAAGTACTAATAATTTATTGTATGACTCCATTCAGTGCACAAGCATGTGTGTGTATTCACTTGTGTATGTGTATGCATGTTTGTGTATGTGTGCACTTGTGTGTATTATATATGCATGTTTATGAGTGTGTGTACACCTATGTATGTTTGTGTATTTGTATATGCATGTTTGTGTGTGTACACTTCTGTATGTGCATGTACGTTTATGTGTGCTTATGCATGTATGTCTGTGTGTATACTTGTGTATGTGTATGCATGTTTATGTGTGTGTACACCTGTGTATGTTTATTTGTGTATGCATATGGTGTATATTTGTGTATGTGCATGCACGTTTATGTGTACTTATGCATGTATGTCTGTGTGTATACTTGTGTACGTGTATGCACGTTTATGAGAGGGAGGGGGTGTGTATGTATATGTGTGCATGTGTGTGTGTGTGTGTGTGTGTGTGTGTGTGTCCTACACATAGCAGTGGTAGAAATGGCCCAGAGCAGCTTTAGTATCAAAGCTCACAGTTAAAGAAGATAATTTACTTATGAACATACCATTCTCACTAAGTTCTGGTTTCTCAGTAGTGCTGAAATTATATAACCAATAGTCCTTTCAAACAATAAATGTTTATTACTATGTGCAAAAAGAAAAAAAAAAGAGTAATAACAATACTAACATTTGCCCCAGCAAACGTAGAAGCTTATAAAAATCCATTTATAATCTGACAGTCTGCAGCTGCGGCGCGGTGTGGCTCTGCAGATTCGCAGCTCTGCCACTCCAGGGCGGAAATTGAGGTGCCAGCAGGGTTGTGTTCCTATCTTCAGAGGATGATTCAGGATGTTGGCAAGGTTCCCTTCTGTGAGGCTGGAGGACTGAGGTCCCGTCTCCTTGCTGGCCCTCAACAGAGCCACCCTCAGCTTCTAGAGGCTGCCGTACTCTCTGGCTCACGGCCCCTACAGAGCCGGCCACGGTGGGCCAGTACCCTCACACACTGTGAACCTCTCCAGCTTCCCTTTTGCCAGGTCTCCCCGAGGAATCACCTCTACCGAATCTCTCTGCCAGACTCTTCCACTTTCTCTTGTTGCTTTTAATGGCTCATGTGATCATGTGGGGCCCACCCAGATAACCCAGAATAATCTCCATTTTAAAGCCTGCTGGTTCCTAACCACAATTCCAATAGCAAAGTCCCTGCACAGCAGTACCTGCATGCATCTCTGGCTAAATGCTGGGCAGGGCACCCTAGCAGGACACTGGCAGAACCCTGCCTGCCAAGAGCCCTGTCACCTGCACTGTTTCCATTAACCTCACGGCAGCCTTAGGAGGAAGGCCGAGTGGAAAGTGAGACAATTTATCTATTACATCATCTGTTTCACTTTACAAACACTTCGGCCTAACCCCAAAATGAATCCCAAATAGATTAAATAACTAAAATTAAATGTTACAGTTTTTTTAAACTATCAGATTAAATATTCATCTTCATCTAATCTTGGAAGGGTTGTAGTATAAAAGAAACAACAAAGGGGAAATGAACAGATGAGACTGTATTAAAATGACGAAATTTCCATGAAATGAAAAGGCAAAAGCTAGATCGGGGGAAAAAACGCTAAACATATGTCCAATGGTTAACATCCCTATCGTGAAGAACTCATACAAAAAGCAAATCTAAAAAATGGGTAAAAAAATCTATTTGAATTTCTTTTGTGAATTAACATGTTAGAAAGTCTAGCCTTTATCAGGAACAAAAGAGATGTGCACTGAACCACTGGTTTTCAATCAATTTAGCAAGATAGCTTTGTTAGTAGTTTTTAAAGATAATGTTTAATGCTACTAATGAAGAAGTGAAATAGACAACCCCAAATAATGGAGACATACTAGTATTTGGTACGATTCATATTTAGACTCTTTCCTGAGGAAATAAAACCCAAAAACCCAAAAATATTTATAAAAAAACACTAGAGAACTTTAAGTAAGTTTAAATAAATTATGGTATATCCAAACAATAAGTAGTCCTCAGTGATTATACTGCCTTTTCAAGACACATTTTACTGACGTGGGGAAATAAATGTTTATGATTTCGTAAGAATGGGAAAAAGCAGAGTCCTGCGCTGTCCACGCAGGGGGAGGGCAGCTGATGGTAGAAACAGGGGAGCTGGGCAACCCAGGGCTGAGTCTGGCTCTGCCACTTAGTAGCCTTATAACTCTGGGCAGGTTCAGACACGACTGTAGTTTTCCACGTATATAACAGCGGGATGACACCTCCTAGCTCTCATGGCCAAGGTCAAATTTGAATGAGAATGAACGCTGAGTCTGTGTGATCCTAAGAGGTCCTAAGAGCAAGTACCTGCTGGCAGCTCTTGCCAGCACACCTTAGACAATCTGGGAGGAACAAGACCTTTCCAAGTCTACCTAAGGCCCCTATGACTGTTTCCTGTGGCTGCTGTAACTGAAGTACCCCAAAATAGGTGGTTTAAAGCACCAAAAATTTATTCTTGCACGATTTCTAGAAACCAGAAGTCCGAAAACAAGGTGTCAGCGGGGCCACACTTCCTCCAGGATCTAGGGGAGAATCCTCCCTTGCTCTTGCCAGATGTTGTTGGCTCGGGGCTGCATAACTCCACTCTCTGCCTGGTCTTCACATGGCCTTCTCCTCTTTGCCCCACCTGTCTGTGTCCACACCAATTCTCTCTCTCATAAGGACACTTATCACTGGAATTACGGCCCACCCAGGTAATCCAGGTTGAACTTATCTGAAGCTCCTTATTCATATCTGCAAAGACCCTTCTTCCATAAAAGGTCATATTCAGGTTCTAGGGTTAAGAATACCTTGCATATCTTCTGCAAGCCACCATTCAACCCATCGCAGACTCAAGCCACGATTCCTTTAAAGTGGCAAAGTTATCAGGGGACTTCAAACACTTATAAGTGGAATTTCATTATTCATTCAGAATTCTGTACTGGCTAACATCCTATAGGCAGTTAAAAGCAACTGGACGCAAATAGCTCAGGCATCAGACTTGTTAGGCAATAAGGATATCGTCATAGTTGGTTCAGGCTGTCATAACAAAATAACCACAAACTGGTGGTTTATAAACAACAGAAATATATTTCTCGCAGTTCTGGAGACTGGGAAGTCCAAGATCAAGGCGCTGGCAGATTCAGTATCTGATGAGGGCTCATTTCCTAGTTCACAGATGGCGCCTTCTCACTGCATCCTCCCGAGGTGAAAGGGTCAAGAGAGCTCTCTGGAGCCTCCTTTATAAAAACATTAATCTCATCCATGAGGGCTCCATCTCCATGACCAAATCACCTTCCAAAGGCCCCACCTCCTAATACCATCACCTTGGAGTTTGGATTTCAATATAAAAATTTGGGGAGGACACAAACATTCAGACCACTGCAGATGTGGACTACACAAATGCTACTTCAACAGGTCCATGAAGTTCAAAACCAGAGGGCGCCATGTAACAGTGAAGACATACTCTTCACTGTTACAACCATTCTTTATCACAGAAACTAACATAGTGCCTGTACACAGTAAGACCATTTCAAAACTAGAACACAACACAACATTCAATGTAGCTCAATCAGACAGCTCACCCTTGGGATCTGGCTGTTTTGGCTACACCACCTACCAAGTTCTAAATAATAGCATACGGTTTTCACTCACCTTCGATATAGAGGGGCTCCACCACGTCGTGATTAATTAGCTCGAAGTTCTCGTGTCCTATCCAGTGCTCTACGTTTCTCTTCCTGCCCGTGAAAAAGTTGTCTACCACGGTTACCTCGTGGCCGTCCATCATGAGTTTGTCCGTTAGATGGGAGCCCACGAACCCCGCGCCACCGGTTATCTGCATCAGGATAGTATGTGCAAAACATCCCAGAAAAGGCACATGAGAACACAGTGATGACTGATTCCATGGAGAAACATCTTTGGTGCAGTCACAACTTAGAATTGGGCGGGGTAGGGCGGGGGGAGGAAAACGACAAAGGTTTTAAAGCAGCCTCTTTAACTCTCACTGCACAGTAAAGTCTGCAAACTCCTAAGCAGCCTAAAATTTCAAACTACCACCTAGTGAATAATATAGAAAAATCATAGTTACAAGTTTAAAAATGTCTTCATTGACAGAGAATTTCATGTCATTCAAAGGTTCTTGTTTTATAATAGATGGGATGCTGAACGTCACTTATATGGTTCTGAGACTACTACTGCAAACTTTTAAAACTACTTTACAGAAAAAGAGATTAGTAAAATGCGGATCTGGTGAATCACCGAAAAATATGCATTATTTAAAGTGGACTTAAAAACTTCACAAAAAACTAGTATCTTTTCTAAAATTATTTTTAAATAGAATCTCACTCTGTTGCTCAGGCTGTAGTGTAGTGGTGCAATTATTTATAGTAACAAATTAATAAGCAAGAGATGCTGTTTGCAGACTGAAGCCCTAAATGATTTCCTCCACCACTTGGTTAATTTCTGACTGGCAATGTGAACACTACGTAGTGTCGACTGCCCAGGCAAGGAGCAAAATGACGCAGCTATGAGGGGTCACAACAGGAGCTCAGCAGTTACTTAACCCACCACAAACGTGAAAAGTCAACTGTTTGGAAACAAATTTTAAATGAATAAAGTTGTTCAATCAAATTAAATAATGTAATTGGAGGGGGCAGGATAAAAAAGGCTTTCAGTTTTTGGATGGCTAAAGGAGGTGGGAGTGAAAAGAACAAGCTCAAAAAACAGGGTTGCAACATGAAACTGTGTTTTTCATTCTATTCTGTTTTATTCTCCACTCTGCCATCTCGTCACCAAAATTCTTGTTCACTTTACCCTCCTGTTTCAAACTGAAAAATTAATAGTAGGAAAACACCAATTCTTTTTACCTAAAATAAAAAGCAGGTAAACCCCTTGGTCTATAGTTTTGAAATATGTAATTCTCCATGAACCTCCTGTTCAAATAAAACTCACACACAGTGCAATGCACCATGGTGAGAGATAGCAGAGCCACTTGGATGAAGACATCAGGGATGGGGGGAGAGAGGTAATGGTAGCCCAGGCCCAGGAAGACTCCTCTGTCACCACCGACTAGATAGTCATATGCTCTGATGAAAATACTAACAGAATGGTTTAAAGTGGAATGGTTGAGAGTAGCCCTCCTGGTATGCAGTAGCTTTTAATTAGCTTTATTGGGAGCATCATTTTCTAAATCCCCTTTGCTTTAGAGATAAGAGACTGATACCCAGAGAAGTCAGGCTTTTGTCTAAAACCCTCAGATCCCTAGTCGCAATAGACTAAAGTTACTCTCTTGAATTATCCCTATAAAATCAACTGAAACCAAGGGGTTAAAGCTTTGCTAGTAGCCTACGTTCTGTAAGGTATAGCCTTAGCTAAGAATCAACCAGCTTCTGCCCCTTAGTTTGCTTCCCTATAATTGCTTACCACTTACGAGCCTGGTCACAAGATTTAAAACTTCCCTTACTAGCTTCCATAGATAACACCTCTACTGTGGAACCTAAGATGCCTTTTAGGGGGTTTTCCACACCCTCCATTCCTATGACCCGCACCGTAGAAACTGACTCAGCGCAAGAAAGTAGCTTCTACATCCCTGTGATTTCAGCTCCAACCCAACCAATCAGCAGTGCCAATTCCCTAGACCCCTGTCCGCCAAATTCCCTTTAAAATTCCCTGCCTAGAACTTCTTGGGAAGTGGAGTTGAGAAAGTTCTCCTGTCTTCTTGTTTGGCTGCCAAACGATTATTAAACTCTTTCCCCACTGTACCTGTGCTGTCTCAGGGCATTGGCTCTTTTCTGCACAGCTGGCAAAAAGAACCCAGTTGAGCAATAACGCTCTTATAATCACACGCTCTCTCTGTGACCTGTAAATTTGTCTGGCTCATGTTTTACTTTGAGCACTCCTACATTCTACCGGTACACCTGAAAGATGATGATGAAAAAGGATTTTCCAGAAAAAATACCTAAATTTCAAATTTGACTCACCACCAGTGCTTAAGTCATGGGAAGAGATTTCATTTTATTGTATTTTCCCCAGTTTTCTATGGTTTTTAAATTTTAAAAAATTACAACTTTTTAAAAAGAAATTTAACCCTTTTTAATGTAACTTTATATAAAGCTAAATGCAAATGTTTCTGAAAATAAGATGTTGTGTAGCAGTCTACCATCATCTCTGCACCCAAAATACTGGTGGACAGGTCAGACATAGCAGAAATACATTGTATTAAATTAATCACCTCCAACATTTCACTAGTATTAGTAGTGACATAAAATCATTAGAAGCACCTTAGCCTTGAAAACAATGCATTTGGAATTGTTTTTCTAGAGCGATTCCTTTCCATCTACAATACTTAAAAGATTTATATAACATAGCTGGATGGTTACATGATTTTTTTGTCCTAATCAATTTCAGCCCATTAGGCAAGTGTTTCAAATGGAAACAAAACCAGCAGAGGCTCAGTGTTTAAAAAGCTTCATCAGGAACACTAATCGCCAAACCCAAGCACACCCTTTGAATAATGAGAAGCTAATACCCAAAAGACAGTAGGAGACAAGATGTAAAATCTCTTGCAATGAAATGGATTAAAACTTACACAGCTTCACATGGCTCTCCAGCATTTGAGTCCATCTCAATGTGCTGTATTTCTTGCCCATGTGGGAGCTAACAGGCAGCTAAAGTGGTCAAGTTCAAGGTCAGTATTCGAATTCATTATGCTTAGCAAATCAGCAAAAAGAATGTATTTCTGAACAAACCTCTTCTTTTTGTTGAAGCTGTCCTAAGGCCTTAACAGTTATTGAAAAGGCTTTAAGTTTTAGCAACCATATGCCAGGCTTGGGTACCAAATGACTCTGAAATGTGCTTAACCTATCAGATGGGAGATGAGTTAAAAAATACTAAGTCCATTTGTTGTGGTGATGTGTAAAAAGTGAAATAAATTCTACAATACTCAGCATCAACAGGAAGATCACTCCACACAGAAGTAAGAACAACCCTGGCAAGACTGTGTAGGGTTCATGTATCAGTGTTGCGATGGTTTAAAGGTATCCTCCAAAAATCACGTGCTGGTAACCTACTCCCCAGTGCAGCAGTGTTGGGAGGTGGGGCCCAAGGAGAGGACATCAGGCCATGAGGGCTCTGCCTTCATGAATGGATTCATGCCATTATCACAGGAGCACGGGTTCACCATTGAGGGAGTGGGTTCCATATAAAAGAATGAGTTCTGCCCTTTTTGTCTCTCTCACCCTCTCTTTGCCCATCTGCCATGGGATAACCCAGTAATAAGGCCCTCACCAAATACCAACCCCTTGATCTTGTATACCCTCCCTCCAGAATCATGAGTCAATAAATTTCCGTTCTTTATAAATGACCCAGTCTCGGGTATTTTGTTATAGCACCACAAAACGGACTAAGGCAGAAAACTGACCCTGGAGAAGTGGGCTGTTGTTATAACAAACACCTGCAAATGTGGACGCAGCTTTGGAACTGGGTGATGGGCAGAGGCTGAGAGAACCGGGAGAGGCAGAGTAGAAAAGGCTACTGCCGTGAATGCAGCATTAGAGGCCATTCTACTGGGGGCTCAGTAGAAGAGGAGAGCCCTCCAGAGTCTGAGAGGACTTAAGTGGCTGTGATCAGAATGCTGGTAGAAATACGGACAGTGAAAGCCATTCTGATGATGTCTCAGGAGGAAATGCGGAACAAGGTATTGGAAATTGGAGGAAAGGCCATCCTTGTCACAAAGTGGCAAAGAACTTGGGCAGATATATGTTCTCGTCCTAGGCCTTTATGGAAGGCAGAACTTAAAACTGATGAGCTAGGGTATCTGGCAAAAGCAATTTCTCAGCAAAATATTGAAAGAGTTGCATGGCTTCTTTTAACTGCAAACAGTAAAATAAGAAAGAAAAGGGATTTAAAGACAGAATTTATAATTAAAAGGGAAACAGAACAAAAAAATTTGGAAAATGCCCAGACTAGACACACAAAGAATGAAAAAGTGTGCACGGGTGCACCAATAGAACCTTTGGTAAGGGGATTAGCATGGCTAGAAGGAAGCCAGGTTCTAATCATCGAGACAATGCGGAATGACCCTGAGGAATTTCAGGGACCTTCCAGGCAAGTTAGAAGGTTGAGGACAAGGTTTCCAGAGAGGTGCTCGAGGTCAGCACTCACTGCCCGGTGCTGCCTCCAGGCTGTGCTCCCTGTACTCTGGTACAGGGCTCCTTGGCCATCACAGCATGGCTCAAGCCAGCCCAGGTGCAGCTCAAGCCGCCACACCTGAAGGTATATGCTATAAACCTTGGCGGTGGCCACTCGGTGCTCTAAATCTTTAGGTTCACAGAATGCATGAGCTGTGGGGGCATGGCTTCCTCCACCTAGATTTCAAAGGATGCTGTGGACAGCTTTGGGGCCCAGACAGAGACTTCTCACAGAGGTGGAGCCAACACCAAGACTCAGGAACTGTAGAGCCACCAGTGTGTAACACCAGGCTGAGGAAACTACAGGCACAAGACTCAAACTTGTGACAACTGCTGGGTGGACCGAGCCCAAGAAAGCCACAGTGGCAGGGCTGCCTAAGGCCTTGGGGGCCCAACCCCCACCCCAGTGTGCCCAGGATGTGGGACACAGAATCAGAGAAGATCATCGGAGCGTTAAGATTTGACGTTGTTCACCCTGTTGGGTCTGGAGCTTACTTGGGACCAGTTACCCCTTTTTTCTTGTCTATTTCTCCTTTTTAGAATGAGAACGTCTATCCTACGTCTGTCTCACCATCGCATCTTGGAAGTAGATAACTTGTTTTCATTTCACAGGCTCACAGCTGGGGGAATTTGCCTCAGGATGAATCATGCCTTGAGTCTCAACCATATGATGCTGAGATGAGACTTTGGACTTTTGAGTTGGTGCTGGAAAGAGCTAAGATTTCAGGGCTACCGGAATGGACTGAACGCATTTTACATGTAAGAAGGACATAAATTTTAGGGGTGGAATGCTATGGTTTGAATGTGTCCCCCAAAAGGCCAGTGCTAGAAACTTAATCCCCAACGTAACAGTGTAGGAACTGAGAGATGATTAGGCCGTGAGAGCTCTGCCCACATGAACGGATTCTACTTACGGAGAAAGTAGGTTCTGCGTAAAAGGATGAGTTTGGCTCCTTTTTCTTTCCCTCTTGCCCTCTCATTGCCTTTCTGCCATGGTATGACGCAGCAGGAAGGCCCTCACCAGATGCCAGCCCCTTGATATTGGACCTCCCAGCCTTCAGAACCATGAGCCAATAAATTTCAATTCATTATAAACTACCTGGTCTGTAGTATTATTACAGATAGCAGCACAAAACGAACTAAGACAAGTGTACACCATCAGATTTTGTGATCAATCTGACAACCTGGCAACAAAAACCTTAGAAAAATTAACTTTTCTCTGCTACTTGAGACACGAATATATTTCTAGATTCATGCTCAAATGCATGTATCTTTTTGATGCAATAGAAATAAACCGCAAAGAAGAGCATACAAGTACTAACAGACTTTAGAGTTTGCTCAGGGTGAGACTGATATAAGCCATCTCAAAAAGGCAAGAGACTGGTGGAATCAGAATGTGGTGCCATTACGTAACTCTGCGCACATGCTATAAACCACTGAATCGTAACTTCAGACGTATGAATTTTATGATATGTGAATTATCTCTTAATTAAGAAAGTGTCTTAGTATTATAAATACTAATCAGATGTGCCAACTTACCAAAATTCTTTTACGATCCTTTTCTGATAAAAACTTCACTGGTGGGTATTTCTGGGTAAAGCTGTATGACATGAAGGGATTAAAAAAGGAAAAGTCAAACATCTCTTTGAGTATTTTCTCCTCCTACTATCAAAGCAAATGCCAGATTTTAGAACTGTTACTGTTAGCTCCTTCTCTCTATTCTGAATGAGTGCTGCAGGAACCGAGTGTTAACTGGCTGACTTGAGTTCAAGAAATAGCTAACCTGCTCCTTGTTTAGAATCAAGCTAAGGATAAGACTTGAGATTCTATTCCCAAGAAGCAAAAATTTAAAAAGCTACAGGCAACTAGGGGCCGCTAAAGCAGAGCAGGCACTACCTCTACTAGGTCCAGTGAAAAACACACAATGAGGGAGGGGGTGGCATTCTCCTCCGCTACGTTTGGGTCAGAAGTAAGAAAGCAGTTTTGTGAAGTCACAGCCCCAATGCTGGAGGACTGCCTCGCAAAAGTGAGAAAAGATGTCAGTAAAACTCTGTCTCCTGTTCCAGGCAGTTCCCCAATTGCAGAATCCCCCTCTGAGCAGTGTCCCCGGGTAAAATGACTGAGCATCAGCACTGTATGTCTCTTACTTTCTGCTCTCACCCGATCTTAAGTCTTACCTTTATCTTTTGATGCCCTCTTGCCCCTCCCAAGGTGCCATCGGTCCCCAACCCACACTGATGTTCAAGGAGCAGGGCAACATAACCAGTGTATAAAATGTCCAATGAGAAGTGATAACTGCAGATTTGAAATGTACATTCTTAAAGTGATTCAGTTAGGAGCAAAAGTGCTTTAAATACAATCCAAGAGATCTGCTTTGTCACTCTTTTAACAGGTGAGGTGCTGGGCCAGCGGCACTGTCCCAATCCCCTCCCTGTCACCAGCACCAGCACAGCTCAAAGATACAGAATGCGCTTCCCTAATTGTCACTGAACTGAACAGAATATGACAGGTCACTGGACAGAAGCCCTTAAAGCAGGGGTTTCTCATCTCTGGAAGCACGCCTACGTTGGAGCCACAGCGCTTTCTTTTACAACGCAGATGCTTCCCCTACTAAGAGTTCCCAAATTCTCAAAAGGTCAAGTTCTCCTTGCAGACTACAAAATCAGATGGGAGAGTCTGAGGGCACAGGTGGGAACCCTGGCCTTCCCCCTTGTTGGTTCTGTGGACCCCCACACAAGACCCCCAACAGCACTGTCTACCTCAGGGCTTCCTCCTCCACCCAGGGGGAGCAACAGCTCCCCATCTCCAGGACTCCCTGAGTGCTTCATGAATGTTATCTATGTCTGGAGTAGAGGCAAATTCTGCCTTCAGTCACAGCCCTGCTGAAGACTGGAGGGAGCCAACAGATGCCTTGTTTGCCACATAAAACTTCTTATCATTCCATCTCCTCCCTCAACTACTCAGCTGGGGAATGGCACCGTGAATCTCAGTGTTGTCTGCAAGTGCCCCTCACACCCGCCCCAATTTCCTTCATTCCTTGGAGCTCACACGTGCATGCCTCTAGCCTCCAGCCTCCAGTTCCACACCCAGCCCCAGGACACAACTGAAATTCTCCTTCCTTCCCCCCATGGTCACGGGCACCAGGGATGCTGGCGCCATCTCTGACTTATCACTTTCCTTCACTCGCTGTGGGAGTTCCTCCCCGACCCCCTCTGTGGTTTCAGAGACAGTGCCACATGGGATAAGGGTGCACAGCTACACAGTGGACGTGCTGGGAGAGAAAGCGATTCCGTGAGCGGAGGGACAAGGCTGCGCCATGGCACCCCGGGAGCGAGCACGCCTGTTTGGCTACGGAAACGAATTTCAATCCAAGTTGTGGGCTTAGAATACTCCCCAACTGAAAGCTTAAAATGAAATTTGGTATGCTATTTATACCAGAAGGAAAATAGCGAACTGTTTTATAACAGGAAGTGTACTTCAAAGAAATAAAACTGAAGCAAAGGCACAGCTGCTAGACACACACAGTTATGGGCAGGGTGGGGTGGACTAAAAAATACTTCAAACCTGTGTGCTAAAATTTTTAATTTAAAAACCAAAAAAATAGGTTGGGTTGCTTGCCTTGCTTTTCTTCAATGTGTAGCTACCGAGTTTTAGATTTCATATGTATGATCAAGTTCTTAAACTCTTAAAAAACTATCTTACACCCCTCACGTCTTCCTTTGAGAAGTCACACACACAAAGCTTTGAGTAGCAGGATGGGAAGTGGCCTTCCAGGCCTCCTCAGCATGCCTGGAATACTCTGTTTGTCTCCCTGCAGTCAAGATGACAGACTACGGTGACCCTGCGGGTGCTACTGACTGGGCCACACCCTTGGCCACAGCTGGGGTGCTTGAGAGCACCTGCTGGCCTGACCCATGCTGGGCAGCGGGCACCGGCTTCTTAAAGGCCTACAGGAGGTGAAACTCCTACCCAGGGGACTGACTCATCCATTGCCTGAGCAGTGTTTAAAGTGGGCATGAAGCCCACATCCTGAGTGTGAGAGATAAGCAAGTGAGGCAGAATGAACTGGATAATGAATCTTTTCTTAAACCCCCACCCTGCATTAATCCTTTACTAAGCATTTTATGCCATTCCAGACTCTAACCTTACTGTTTAGTAGACTGGCCAGTAAGAAGTATTCTTATTCAGAATTTAAATTGTCATCATTTGTTATCTATTCAAAGAACTTTTTTTTTTTTCAGAGATAGGGTCTCACTCTGTCACCCAGACTGGAGTGTAGTGGCATGATCGTAGCTCACTGCAGCCTTGAATTCCTAATCTCAAGCAATCGTCCTGCCTCAGCCTCCAGAGCAGTTGGAACTGCAGGTGCAGCCACCATGCCTGGCTAATTTTTTTTTTTAGAGATAGAGGTTTCACTATATCACCCCAGCTGTTCTTGAACTCTTGGCCTTTGGCCTCAAGTGATCCTCCTGCCTTGGCCCCCCAAAGTGCTGGGATTACAGGTGTAAGCCACTGCACCCAGCCTATTCAAAGAACATTTAAAGATACCAAGATGAAATTAAACAAATGGCATATAATAAAGTATTAAGCAATGGGGCTGTGATAACAGAAAAAGCCCACATATAATCCACTTAGGCTTCTACAGAGATTCCATCTTCATTTCTTTCCCTATATAACCTATAACTTTCAAAAATATCTTTATTTCTTGGGAGCCACATTGCTCAAAGTGACAAGCACATCAAAAACATATTTCCAGCTACAGTCTTATCTTGCCAGCATCAAGATGGTTGTTTGATCATTCTTACTACACAAGTAGTCAAGAAAAATAAAACTAGACAGAGCTCCATCAATTTCCACCACCAAGCCTTGTTAGTCGTGTTTGCACTTGACCTCCTAACTGAAACAGTGATGCAAGCTCGCCGGTCTCCTGACTTGCTCACCACCCTGGATGACAGAACCATCCCAGAATAAGTGACCAATAAACAGACCCAAGAGGCAAATTCTCATCCTCTGCCCCTACTGTACAGGTGGCTCTCATGGTTTGACAAGAATGAGTTACCGGTGAGTTCTTAGGATTAAATTCTTACTTGTGTTTCTCTTTCCAGTTTGAAAGCACAAAGAACATCACAAAAGCATCAAAGGGAATCACATAATTCTCATATTTCAAGAGATATCATTCGTAAGCTATTGCCTGTGGGAAGTTATCTGATTCATTTTTCTTTTCATAAATAAATGAATATTACTGTTCGAAGAAAATGATCAGCAGTGGACAGATTTTTTTTTTTTTTGCCAACATAAAGCCTGCCTTTCATCTTTCCTTTTACAGATTTACTCAGTTGAGAAAGAATATTAACTGTTGATCTTAAAACAAAAAATATACATACCTTTTTTCTAAATCTCTGATTTTTTCTCTTAGTGGTTCAACAATCTAGAACAATAATAACCAAAATCAATTTTAACATAAAAACAAAGTCCTTGACCACTTTCACCCCATTCTGCCATTTCAGACAAGCATAGCATAATCCAAAACAGGTTTTAATTTTTTCTACAAATTCACTTCCAGGTTGAAATTAAGATAGGCCACTTAAATCACAATGCTAGAATTGAGCTGATCAGTTGTATGTTAGAACTCATATTCCATAAATGCCTAATGAAAATTAACCTTTTTACTCACCCACCTTCCTAGGAAGAATGTAAAAAGTGTTTCAGGTTCATAAAAACAGGTATATCAACACTACCGGTCCCCTTTTAGGAAGAATTCCCTAAGCACAGGTCATGAAAGCTTAACATCTTGTTTCTGCAATTACTGTATATTCATGTTATCAGCTGCAGCACATAAACTGCAAGCCGTGAGTCAACCCGCATCCACGTGTGTGGACAAGGTGAGTCTGGGCAGAATGAGAGCAATCTGAGGGCTTCCCTGTGACTCTGAATTCGGCTTCAAATCCCCAGTGACCTCACAGCCCCACCCCCACCACAGTCCATGTTACAATTTAGCTGTATCCATGTTTCGTTACCTACAAAGTATAAGCAATTATTTTAAAACAGGAGTAGTATAATCAAGCAGAGGTGCTAGCTTTTAGTTAGGTAGGTGTGTGACTCCCCCATCTTTGCATATAAAGATGTTTCTCTGTCCTGGCAACTGATTTGGGGCCATTTTCCTTCCAGCATCTGCTCAGGTGAGTGGATGCTGGTACAGGCTTCCATCTCTTAAAGGTAATCACTTCCTTTTCTCTAAGAAAGGCTCATCTAAAAAGTCATGTAAAAGTGTGAATCCATTTTGACTTTAAGGTAGAATTTGTTTTAATAAGTCACACCTTTATGAAAAAAAAATGGACCAACAGTGACAGAGACTGCATCTACAGGATAACAAACAGAAAATCTCCTCTTATGGGAGCAATTTTTTGAAAGATGGTTTCAAAATCACACAGAACAGCATCAAGCTACCACAATAAAGACAACAGCACAAGCAAAGGAAGTGAAATTGAAAAATATATCAATTAAATAGAAGCAAATATGAAAAAGAGACTGACCTCTTCAATCTTGCTTTCAATTTTGAGTTCACTGTTTTCTTGGATAGACCTGTTGAGTAGAAAGCTACAAAACTGAGATCAATTGAAAGCTTTTGTGACTTCCAGATTTGTTTTGAGATTTCTGAACAAATTACCATAATACAGACCAAACGCTGCAGACCACCTCCCTCTCTGGCCCACCCAAGCATCAGTCATGTGTACCCATTCCCGCCAGAAGGGGAAGCACCAGAGGAAAATGGATTGCTTCTGTTAAACTAAAATAATCTCACTTCCATGTTACATCCAACATAGGACTTTAAATTAGAAGCAGGAAGTATCTATAGAAGTACATATTTGTCTGCTGGGCTTTCCTGGGGATTTAATGCAAAATGGAGTTTTCTAAATAAAACCACAAAGCTCCTTTAAATGAGATCTGAGCACCCCTCTTAGACACACACAGCAGCCTTTGTCAGGAGACATACACATGCCCCCGTGGTAGGAAACAGATCAACATCACCCCACCTGGAAAAATCAATTACACATGAAAGGCCTCCTGGGGGCACAGGAAACTTTTACCCTTTGTAGACTTGTGCAGTCATATTAAAACTGCAATACCAGCTTAACCATCACAATTGTAATTGTTATTCTTGCATTTTTTAATGCCACATAACAAAGTGGAGCAAATTTTTCTTTAAGTGGAAAACTGCTATAAACAGTGCCAAATTTGTTTTTGCAATGAATACTTACTACTTTTTGCTGATTTTTTTAAAGGCTTTTCTTTTTTAATTTGGTAAAGAGATAACACAAAGATTTTCATTCTACAAGAGTTCCTTCTGCCCTATTAAGAAACACGAATAATACACACAGACCTAATCCTGGGATAGATAGGTAGGTGGTCTCTGCACCCAACCAGCTGTTTCCCTAAAACAGCTCCTTTCTCAAAAGGATTTGCCAAAGCCCCTAAGTGTTCTTGCTCAAGCCACCCAGAAATGCACTTTCCATTTCAGGAGTGTGAAAGCCGGGTCAGCCCTCATTATCTACACCAAACGGGAGAGGGAGGAGGCGACTGACAATGGCTTTACATCTGTGTTTTACTCTGGTCAATGTTAAAATCAGCCAATCCGCTGCATTCCCAGAGAATACCCATAGGAGAAAAGCCCAGATGTGTGAATAACAAAACAAAAACTGTTTCTTTTTTTAAAAATATTCCATAATTAATCCATGCTGTCAATGGTATATATGTACCAACTGTCTATAAAACCCATCCACAAGACCCAAGTAATTAAAAAGAATTACCTCATATTAACGAAGTTGCCCCAAACAGCTGGAAGAAAAAGAAAAAAAGGTCAATATCTGAGTTCATGACATACAGGGATTCCAACTGGTAACATTTTAAATTTTAACCAGCATTTTAAAGTTCACTAAGAAAATTAAATTATAGTTCATAAACACAATAAAACGCACACTTTGTTTTCAAAGAATTAAGTCCTATTAAAAACTTAAGTGGAAAACACAGTCAGTACGTCCACCTTAAAAAAAACATTAAAGCAAACTTAATATAAGTAAAGAGTTTATTTGGGCCAAGTTTGAAGAAAGCAACCCAAAAACAAAGATTCAAGTTGCGCTGAACATACAACTTTGATTAGCAACAATTGTAAGTAGGGTTTTAAATGAAAAGAAGATGCAGTTACTAAATCATTTACCAAGAATTTCCATTAAAATAACGTAAGCTACTGACTGGCTACACATTGTTCTTTATATCCCAAATTCCATGAACATGAAAATAATGAGTGAGACAGCTAGTCTGGAATAAAATACCTTTAAACAACTGCCCCCAGGGATTGGGGGTGGTGGTGACTTCCCACACTCAGGTCTCACTGTGCCAGATCAGTCTTGCACACCTCAGACTGCTCTGAGCTATCTTTTGGGGTTTGGAGTTCAAGGGTGCATGAGTTTTGATAAAGAGTATGTCCTCTATCTGTTTGAGGAAGAGCTAGTCACAAAAAACAAAGAATCACAAGCCTGAAAAAGATCCTAGGTTTCAATCTAACGTCTCCCTTTAAGTGTTGATGAAAGCAAAACCCAGAATAGTTAAATAATGGCTTAACTCCAACTGGAGGGCCACCCTGTCTCAGCACTTACCACATCACCCTTCCATTACAGCTGCTTGTCTGCTGGTCTCCTTTTCTGATCACAGGCACCTGGTGGGCAGGTTACCGTGTGTCGGCGTACAGCTAGCTGCCCATCAGTGCATGTATCTAAATCGGCCCTGACCCAACACTGAAATTTTTACCATGGATGACTTTAAAACATAATATTAATACTAGCCCATGAGTGCTCACTTTAAGTTACTGAGCAGAGGATTATTCCGTAAAGAAATCTTTCCTGTGAGTGAGTGAGTGGTCCTAATATTTTGTACACATTCCTACTTGGCGCTCAGGTGGCCATTCTCCAGATACCGAAGGCCTCCTAAGTGCCAGGTCCTCTTGGGTGCTTCCAGGTGCTGGGGACAGACAAAGAGCAAATACAAACACCCTCCCTGTCTCCCAGCTGGCGATTTTATGACTTTAGGAAGGCCTTAAGGTTAAAATCGAATAGTCCCAGCCATGTTCGCATTGTCATCCTCTAGCACATAGCAGGGGCTTAGTTATTATTTACTAAAGAGGATTCAGTGCCCAAAATCATACCCCCCGTAAGAAATACCCATTGTCAAGAAGGAGAATGTTAATTCCATAAAAGTACCTCTCTCTTCAAACAAAGGAGAAAACTATTGATAAAAAAGATAGCAAAAATAACTAAATAAATGCAAGTGTCAAAAAGTGGGAAAAGGGAGAAATTAAAATCAAGCTACACTAGATTCATTTTTCATTTAAAAAATAAAAACTGCTTATATCTTTGGACCATGTGGTTCTACTTTCGAGTATTATTCTCAGGAAATAAGTATATATACAGGAAAGTTGCCTTCACAAATATCATGGCCTTATTTATAATCACGAATAAAAAGGAATAAACTGAAACACTCCACAATTAGAGAATTGCTGTATAAATTATAATATAGCCATTCAATGAGATCAGAAAGCCATTAAACATGACTATGAAACTATTAATATATAACATAACACAGTTATGATAGCACCAGATGAAAAATACATATATACAGTATGATTTTCAGTACTAAAAACGACTTTGGAAAAAAAACACTGTGTGAAACTGTCAAAATACTGAGCGTAAATAGCGGCATGAGTAATTGTTTATTTTTCCTTGTACTTAAGTGCTTACCTTGCTTATTAAAAAGGAGGGGAGAGATTTTTAAAACCTTGCTAAACTCCATGCCATGGTATCCTGTTCTCATCTTTCTAGACACCTGGGGAATGTCTGGGTCAATCCTCAGCTGGGACACCAAGCACTGCTGCCGCCACCACAAAGATCACCAGGAGCTACCAGGTGCCAAACCCATGTGCCTTTTTCTTTATTGTGCTGTATCTCAAATAAATATACCATCTCATTTTGGCTTTAGGATTTAGCTGCTTATTGAAGTAAATGAAGAAACAGTCCCTCTCTTTCTATGCTATGGAACCATCCACTCCTTCATGTGTCTTCTGCTGGGTGGCACATTTGAGAGGCTTTTCAAATTATTCCACAGTTATTAGTTTATTCAGTTTTTTCTTTTTCAGTCAGTTTAAAATGTCTATTTCAGAAATGTCTCTCAGTCCTTCTACATCCCTTACTCCAGAGGTCCCCAACCTTTTTGGCACCAGGGACTGGTTTCATGGGAGACAATTTTTCCATGGATGGGGGTGGAGGGGAGGAGGGAATGGTTTGGGGATGATTCAAGTGCATTACATTTATTGTGCAGTTAAACCTCTCTGCTAATAATAATCTGTATTTGCAGCTGGTCCCCAGCGCTAGCATCGCTGCCTCAGCTCCACCTCAGATCATCAGGCACTGGATTCTCATAAGCAGCAGCAACCTAGACCCCTTGCGTGTGCAGTTTACAGTAGGGTTTGTGCTCCCATGAGAATCTAATGCCGCTGCTGATCTGACAGGAGGCGGAGCTCAGGTGGTGATGTGAGGGAGCTATAAACACAGATGAAGCTTCCCACACTGCTCAGCACAGCCGGTTCCTAACAGGCCATGGACCGGTACCGATCCGTGGCCCGGGAGTTGGGAATCGCAGCCTTAGTCCATTTCAGAGCACTGAAGGCTGCCTCCCATGCCGGACACCTTCTCCTTCCTTGACCCTAATCTCCTGAGCTTGGAATTTCAAGAGGGGCATTTGTTTTAGAATAGGGATAGATCGTGAATCTCGGAATGCCAGGCCACACGGAAAGCAGATTCTTCCCCAGGAATGCAGATCTGGGGCAGCAATTCCAATGGCCCTATTTTAAGTACTGTTATGATGCTGGATCACACAAAATTACCATTTCCACTTTACACCTGTCTGTTTTAAATGGCTGCAATATGCTTTAGCATGTTTTTATGGCATTCTGATCACTATTTTAAACCAGAAGCCATATGTACTTTATACTCAGTCATAGGAAGAAGCGTGACTTAAGGAAACTGCTCTCCTACCACCCTTATGTGGGCATACACCTATGTAACACGCATGCAAGGCATGCCCTTATATACAACATGACATCCTAGAAACCAGCGAGCCCCCAACTGCACCGGGACTCCATGCAGGCTTTGCCTTCCTTTTCCCGTTTCCTAAGGTTGTTCCTTGCTCAACCACCAGCCATTCATGCAACTTGATGCTACCCTGCACACACTACTTCACTGTCTGGTAGGCAATGGGGTGGTGCTGTGACAGAAATGCAGATGTCCAGGAAGGCCCCTCAGAGAGGAGGCCTAGAGAAGGCTCCCCAAAGTCCAAGCTGGCTGACAAGAAGCAGTGAGGGTCCACCTCAGACCATTCCTGCCATGAAAGGTGGAGCACTGCCATATGCTAGATGCTAAGGAAGCTACCCCCCTTCATCAAGACCCAGGCCTACAGCACTGCCCCAGTGGCATGACCCAAACAGCAGCAACAAAGGGCTCCAGCACAGGGCAAATGCAGGTCTCTTTACTAAGCCCCTGCTAGGAGCCCAGCAAAGCGCAAGGTCTCGCAGCCAGGGTTCCTAACCTGCATTGCCCTTTACATTGAAAAGGCTCTTCAGGACCAGGACTGACAAGGACTGAGATGCACAGCAGTGGAGCAGTGGGGATCTCTCCAGTCCCAACCAATAAAATCCAGGGCTTTCCAGGCCTGCAGGGCCATACTGAATCAGAATCTTTGCACAGGGGCTCTGGCATCCTTATTTTGTAAGTGTCCCAGATGACTGTGACCTGGTGAGGGTGGAGAACCTGCACCATCAGGGATCTGGGGACCTGCCACAACCACTTGCTGCCTACCTCTGTTCACAGAGTCCAGGCTCACGTCACTAAGCCCTTGTCGTTCCTCCAACTTGCCAAGCCTGCCATGCACCAGCGCCTCTGCACTCACCCTTCTCCCAGCTGCCTCTTCATCTTTGTCCCTTCCTCAGTTCATCCAGCTCTCAGAGCAAAAGTTACCTTACCAAAGAGGTCTTCTCCCCAATCTATCTGTAAGAGCACCGCCACCAACACCCCACTTAGCCTTGCTTTTTCCTCACAGCACTTATCACCAGCTGATACATCTATCTATATTTATCTATGAATCTATGTTTATTGCGTGTTTCTGCCTAATACAACGTAAACTCCAAGGCAGTAAAAATTTTCTATATTTTGGTCAGTGCTGTTATCCAGAGCACTGACATGGATGAATACAGTAAGTGCTCACTAAATATCTGCAGAAACGATGAATGAAAAGCTCCCCCAAATGACTGGGAATTGCTGCTCCAAGGCAGGAGTCAGCAAATTCTTTCTGTAAAAAGAGCCAAACAGTAAATATTTCAAGCTTTGCAGGCCATATGATCTCTGTCAAAACCACACAACTCTACTACTGTAGGGTGAACACAGCCAAAGACAATTCACAGGAAAGCACGGCTTATTCCCATACAGCTTCATTCAAGGGCACGGAAATTTGAATTTCATATAATATTCACATGTCAAAAAATAGTATTCTTTTTGACTTTTCTGAACTATTTAAAAATTGTTAAAACTTTTTTAGCTCCTGGGTCTTACAAAAACCAGTGGTGGGCTGGATTTGGCCCATGGGCCACTGTTTGCTGATCCCTGATATGAGGGACACCAAAATGGCCAGACAATTCTGACTGAGGGAGTTCTTGTCCTTGAGTGGGAAAGAGCCAGCCACCACCTGTCTCTAACAGGTGCCAGAGGTAAAGGCTGCAGCCTGCCAAGTCTCGG